CAGACTTGTGGTCAGGTCGGTGCATAGCGGGAGCCGAATGCTGCTCAAATCTCGCCCGCCCGCACGCGTCATGATTGTTGCAACTCCGCAAGAGATGCGACATATGCGTTCGGCCGTCTTCGGTTGTCGGCCAGAGACGACGCTGCCCAGCACTTTATATTGCGGGACCTCCGCGGGTGCAGGTGAAACGCCCGACTGCGTTGAGCTTGGGTGGCACGCTACGACCCGCGTTGTCTCAGACCCTGGACACACTGCTTGTAGCACCGCGTGGTCGCATGTCTCCCGAGCGGCGCCACACCATGCATCATGCGTCAGGGCCGCGTCAAATTTCGAGCTTTAAGCATGTCGTCCCCCTGGTCAGCGGTATGAAACCCTTTTAATTTCAATACCCTTTGGGGGCCTCGAAGTAGCGTTTTGGAGGCCGGCTGCTAGCATTAACAGAGAGGCGCCAATCTTGAACGCAGCCTTGAGACAGGCTAAACATCAGATTTGAGCCCAAGCTCAAACTGGACAACTCTTCGCGCGAGCTCCACGGCCAGAGGATCAGAGGATCAAGCAGAGGCTGCGACTCTTGTTTGAAACGCCATTCAGCCTTTTGGTGGGCCTGGAACTGGAGCTTGAGAGGTTGAGTGACAAGCATCAATGACCGGCTCAATCAACGCTACTACGATGACCAACCAGAGGTAACTTAATGGGGGGGGGGGGTTGAACGCTCCATGACGCGAGAGTATCGCGCCGAAGAGGACGGGCTGAGGCAGGTGCATGCACGTACGACGCAGGGGCTGCCGGAGCCAATAAGCTTCGACACCCGTCATCTACATGCGCAACGTGGAGTCTTTTCGTTGCCGTGCGGAAGGGCCAGGAGATAGCGACGTGAGCAGGACGTACCGGGGAGCGCGATCAGCCGCAGTCTGGCATTACCGGGACGCGGATTTGATGAGCTCGATGGAGAGGCTTCTGCGGTAGTGGAGATGCTGAGATGCTCGGCAATATGGTGAATAATCTGAACCCCTTGTCGGTGCCGTATAAGCGGAAGAGGTGATAGGCACGAAGAAGAAGTCGATAGGCAAATAGTAAAGTAGGCGGGTCGAAGACAAATATGCTGGGTATTATACGTCAAATAATGTTATTCTTTGATGGTATTGGCTAGTGTAGCTTTAGAGAGATTAGTCTGTTGTGGAATTGCAGTTCAGCGAAGCATTCGTAAGCCGTCAAAGAACTGGACTTGCCTGTCAAGCTCCATGGCGCGCCAAGGTTGTGCCTCCATGCATAGAAAGCCGCCGTAGAACCGCGGTGAGTAGGGCGCGCCAGCGTAGCGCACTGTTTCACTCCTCATCAAACGGAAGCTTGGCGATCGTAGGCGAACAGCTCGCTGATATCTCTGAACAGTGTCAGAATTCGATTTGCGGGGGCAATGAGATGCGATCGGTTCAACGGAAGGGTGATGCTTCGAACACTGTGGGTTACAACGTGGCTTTGAAATAACGACAAGTTACGACATTATTCAAAATAAGAGGACGAACAGCCCATTGTACAAGTCTCCCTCCGCATCGACCAGCTGAGATCGGGGTCAAGATTTTCGCGATACTAACAATGATTTGCTGGGTAAGGCGCAGGGAAGACTCGGATAATCCAACACGCAATGATGTGTAGGAAGGTCCGATGTACAAGGATTGTAAGGTCAGCCACGACAGCGACGGCCGGCACCATTATTGCGACGAGCTATTATTGAGCCAAGGGTCCACACCGATCGACTCTGCGTGCAAGGTGTCGGTGCCAGTGGTAGGTATGAACAAGGCTGACACACGTCGTAAGTCCGACGATCGGGTACGGATGATTATCACAGTGCGTACCTTCGTTAGAGTTTCCTCAGCTGTTGCAAGATCTCACCGTAATTTCGCTCTACCCACCGCTTGCCCCTCTTCTCACACACCCAAAGCCGACTCCCGCGCGAGTCAGAGCGAGTAGACCTAAGCTCCAGACGAATCTCGATCTTCTCTTGACATTCTTCGGACGTTTGAGAGGACGACACGGCGGTGGAGGACGGACTGCTCGGTGGAGACTTAGATCCCTCCTTGAGAGACAACCGCGCGAAGGTATCTTCGTCCACTTCCCTAAACCCAAGCATGTTGAGCCGCATCGCCACCGACTTTTCCATATCAGTGGGCGAGGGCGTGTCTGGCTTGCTGAAAATGACTGGGCTCATGGGCGAGAGCGGGACAGGGCTTTCTAGTGTGATCTCCGTCGGAGACATTCCCAGCGTGTTGATGAGCAGCGATAGTGCAGGGCGCGGAGGACGCTGAGCATGCTGAGGACGAAGATGCGTAGTGTCTATCTTCAGAGGAACCGGCTGAGGCAGCGGTCTGGGCGTTGATACAGATGATGTGCTGCTCCATGACGGCCTGGTGCGTAGTGGAGGAGTAGGTAGCGGACGTGGATGGAAACTTGCACGTTCAGATGGTGTTAAAGGTGTGGCAGGCGGTGATGGGACAGGAATGGGTGGAAGAGGTCGTGCGCTCCTAAGGGATGATTGTGAAGATGTTGCGGAATGAGGGGGGGGCGAATGCTCTGAATGGTTCGCGTACAAGGGATGGGTAGTTAACGCCACATCCCGCCGCGAGGAGCACACTTGTAGGTGCTGGCGCTGGGGATAGCTGCTGGGACCCGCTTCGGCGTTGTATTGCTCGTGCGTGGGTGAGTGAAGGATGGACATGCTGGTGTCCTAGACAAAGGGATAAGCGGTGGTTATATATTATACGCGCTACGCTTGCACCGTTGTGACTCCGCTTATTATCTGGGAGATCATGCGGGACGCTAGCTGCCTTGGGGAGAAGACGAAGGCCGGGCTTACCATTTCCGCAGACAAGATGCTGCACAGCCTCGCATGCTCCCGGAGGACGACCCTTAAATTACGTCTCACACCACGCTGCCTGTGGGCGACTCGGCGTCGACGGTGCCGTTGTATTCTACACAAAGGCTCTCGATGATGACCAAATATCTTGGAGGCACTGTGCGATATCAATACTAATGCAAGGCGCGGCTCCTCCAACAGCCAGGTGAAAGTTGAGAAAACTGCGGGTGATGAATTTGAAGACGCGGCGCTCAGTGCTGATGGTAACCGGGCACGGCCGCATGGCGGACACCCAATTAGCAACTGTTTCTAGTTGAGCAACACCTCCACCGCGTACGCTCTCTCTCTTCCTCTTCTCATCAACCGTCTTTGCGTGAGTGCGAATGAACCTCAAACGCTTTTTTTGATGCTCAGTTGCAACCCTGATACTACGAGGTCTGACGACACCATCACCGGCTCGGCATGGCCCCTCGACGTAGTCAGTTTCCTCTCGCGGTGAGGAAAGCTCTCGGGGCAGGTGGCCTAGTAGCTCGACGTAGTTACGCCCGCAGATTTATGCAACCCCTCTAGGCTACCTCCGCAAGGTTGGCCGACGGTCTTCCTTCATCTGTGATGCGACATGGCAGAGCGTAAGCGGGGCTTGCGCGATCGATGCAGCCCACGCTGAAACTCGGAAATAGGTTCTCGGTCCGCTTGTTGAAAAGCTCTGAGCTCACAAATGAAGAGCGAGATTCGATGTGGGCGATAATAGAGCATAACATGAGCACGATGTGCGCGTTTGCTCCCAGCCTATTCTCAAAGCTCACCTGTGCGCTTACTTTCACAGGTCTTCTCAGTCCTCAATGGGCTGGGATGCGGAGGATAAGCAGAAGGAAACATTTCATTCTGACTCGCGGTTCATAATCTTGTCAGTCGCCACTTCTGAGTCTGATACCGGCCGGTCAGAGCAACAAGGAGCGCAGGTTATAGGCTTCTCAGTGTTTCGCTTCGATTACGAGGAAGGTGAAAAGCTGCTGTATTGGTAACCACGCGCACATTCATCAGCGTACGGAGATGCTGAAGCTCGTTTGACTGAAGCTACGAGGTCCAGCTGTGCGAGAGCTCAAGGAGATTAGGCCTGGGGCGCTTTCTCATGCATGAGATAATTCGGATCGGGAGGGCATGGAACATGGAAAAAGTTATGCTAACCGTCTTGAAAGGTATGCACTTTTCACCTAGCTGCCAGCATTGAGCCTTTGTCGATGCACCGCACACAACAGTCAATACCGACGCTGCAAGGTTCTACAGGGAGATCGGGTACGCCGAACTGCAGTCGTTCATTTCACGCCGCTGATATATTTCTGTCATTGCACAGCTTCACGCTGGACCCTTCCTCGCCCGATTACATTGGTGAGAGTGAAGATGACGAACTCGGAGATGCAGAGCCTGAGTGCGACTACGAGATTTTATCGGTAACACTATAGATTCAGCCTTTTGTACTTTGTGCAATCATAGAGCGAACACCCTAATCAAATACTGAGCTAGAATAATACCTACGTTCCTCGAAAAAGGGCGCGACTGATCAGTTCTGCATCTTGTACAAAAGTGTTTGGTATTTAGTTTGCGTAACCCTAACCCCAGGGGTACTAGGCAAATCGCTTTCGTGCCCACGGCGCTTGCGCACCCGACCTCAGAACACTCATGCCCTCGACATCTCTACTGCGAGCAGTGCCCAAGAGGCCCGTGTCTCGCAATTTGTCTGCTAGCAGTAGACGTTACGCGTCGCACGGCCACGGACTCCAGTACAACGAGCCATCTGGATGGCTGTTTGGCGAGAAGGTATGGTGACAGTCCTAGAGCTGTGGGCGTGGACTGACACGGGTCTTCAAGCCGCCACCGCCAGGCCAGAAGCGCAAGAAGGAAGATTGGGAGAACATGTGGTATGTTGGAATGTACGGCACTTTCGCGTTGGCGACCGTCCTGCTATACTACAAGCCTGATACTAGGTGAGTCGTGTTATTGTACCCTGCGCTTCGGGACTCTAACATGTGCAATAGCGTACAGGCTTGGGCGATACAAGAAGCCAAGGCTCGGATGGAGGCGAGAGGCGAGAAAACAGAATATCCCTAATTGCCACTCATGTACCTATTCACCTTTAACACGCTGCCCTCGGACGAATATCTCTGATCCCGAACTCTGGGTGTTGAGCCCATGCATTACGCATCAGCGGGATATGCTACTGTGCCAAGACTATCTATTTTACTCTACGCGTAGCTCAAGAGAAACACAAGCAAAGTGAAGCAGTTGAAGGCCCCCCGTAGATCCCCGAAACGCGTTGAGCGAGATGAAATCCCAAGACGTGGCCTATGACTCTTCACAATGCTTTTGGTATGCCTCCTCCGTCATGAGATTTTTGAGCTGTGAAGACAGAAGTGTCAGTACGTGCCAAGGCTGAGTGTGGGGCTATCTCCGTACCTCCGCTTCATCCGCGACTTTGATCTTGCACAACCAGCCTGGGGGTAGTGAGTCAACAATTGTCAATTTGTAGTGTCTGCCAGGACATACCGTCACCCTCAGGTGACTTGTTGAGCAGCCCTGGCTGCTTGTTGAGCTCTTCGTTAACGGCCTCGATGGTACCCGAGATTGGCGCGTACTGTAAAGCGGATCATTACCACGTCACAGAAGCACGAGTCATGGTGGCGAGACTGCTCACAATGTCGGATGCGGCCTTCACACTCTCCACTGCACCAATCTGGTCTACAACATGTCACATTAAGCGTGCAGGAGATGCTATTAAAGTCCACAGACATACCGCCCTGCTTGACCTCGGTGCCAATGACAGGCAGCTCCACGAAAACAACATCTCCAAGACTTGACTGAGCGTAGTTCGTGATAGTCACGGTGCCGACCGCGTTATCACTGTCGAAGATGACGGCTTCATGGTCGCTCGTGAACTTCTTAGCTGAATTGCTTGCTGGTCAAGTGCTCTGGAATGCCGAACGCGGTGCGCAGACTCACTGACGATCGTTCGGGCAAGGAATCTGGGACTCAGTGCTACTGGTGTCGTGCGAGCAACACGGAGAGTAGTGAGGCCAGGGCGAGAAGCGACACGGAGAGCACTGAACATGCTGAACACGGTAGACGGGGAAGATAGGAGGATAACGAGCAGGTGTCTTCCATCATAAGCGCCCGGCGGGATTCCGCCAGTCGGTGCACGAAAAATCCTCAAGCCTTACTATGCATAGCCAAAGCGAATGTGTATATCACTCCGAAAAGCAGCAGTTACATTGCGGAAACGGGTTGCGAGTGATGTGAGCAAAGCGATGATACAGAATAACGACGACAGCAACGATGACTACTTTTCCGGAGTGTAGCTATTATATGGGAATATGTACTCAGATGACGCATCTAAGCTGTTTACGCGTACTCCAAGATCTTAGTGATAATACCAGTTCCGACTATATTTTTGTCAGAGCGTGCCCTTTAAAGATGCTCGTCTATGAACTTACCAGTCTTACCACCTTCGCGGAGGGTGAAGCTAATAGATCGATCAACACGATGATGAAAGCAGAGTTCGTCTCACAACTTACCGAGTTCCAACATCAGCAGCGACATCGTGAATAAGGTCGCAAATCATCTCGACATTGTCACCAGGCATGACCTACAGCGTAGCGGTCAGCGATGTTTTGTTCGTAAGTAGGGGAAGCACTAACCATCTTGTCCGAAGCATCGGGTGTGTCTTTGGGCCAGGAGAGCGAGGTCGTGATGTTAGCGGTACGCAAGAAAATCTGGGGGCTGTATTTTTCCATGAAGGGAGTGTAGCGGCCGCCCTCATCCTTGGTAAGGACCTATAACAAGGATGTATGTAAGTAAAGCGAAGTTCATTAGCACAAATTACATACGTAGATCTGAGCTTGGAATTTCTTGGCGGCCTTAATGGAACCGGGGGCGCAGATAACCTGTCCACGGCGAATCTGTTCCTTCTTGATACCACGAAGCAGGGCACCCATGTTGTCACCAGCCTCACCGCGATCAAGCTCCTTGTGGAACATTTCTGCGCATTATTAGTGTTACGCTGAATGGAATATCCGATAGCCCAAGCACTCACCAATGCCAGTCAAAGTAGTTTTGAGCTTAGTCTCAAAACCAATAATCTCAACCTCGTCGCCTTTGTGGCAAATGCCACGCTCAGCACGACCAGTTGCGACAGTTCCACGACCGGAGATGGAATAGACATCTGCGAAGCAATCTAATCTCGAATAGAGAGACTTACTAGACTGAGCTTACCTTCAACAGGAAGAAGGAAGGGCTTGTCAAGGTCACCTAGCAAGACCAATACAACATCAACATCGTCGTCAGACGAATACAGTGAAAAGCCACGCACGAGGAGGGAGCTCGAGCCATGCGTCGCAAGCCTTGACAAGTTCGACAATCTTGTCGGCACCAGTCTCAGGGGTCTTACCTTCAAGAGTAGCAAGAGCAGAACCCATGATGATAGGGGTATTTTCGCCGTCAAAGTTATAGGTGGAGAGCAGGTCGCGCATTTCCATGTCGACGAGCTCGAGCATCTCGGGATCGGAGATCATGTCGATTTTGTTAATGAAAACGACAAGCTTCTTGATGCCGACCTGACGGGCCAGCAGCAAATGCTCCCTGGTCTGAGGCATCTGTCCGTCGGTAGCGGAGACGACAATGATAGCACCATCCATTTGAGCAGCACCAGTGATCATGTTCTTGATGTCTGTGGAACATGAGGGGTCAGTCGTGAAGGCGACTCAACGAGATGCACTCACAATCGGCATGTCCAGGGCAATCAATGTGGCCATAGTGCCTGTTGTCGGTCTCGTACTCGACATGAGAAGAGTTAATGGTGATACCACGAGCACGTTCTTCCGGCGCCTTGTCAATCTGGTTGTAGTCGGTGAATTTGGCTCCTCCGCGCTCGGCGAGAACCTTGGTGATAGCGGCGGTCAAGGTGGTTTTTCCGTGGTCGACGTGTCCTGTAAGGCTGTGAGTGCTGGGGCTAAGGACAGCACTCAGGTCGCACTCACCAATAGTACCGATGTTCATATGCGGCTTGGCCCGGGAGAACTTCTGAGCAGCGGCCTCGGCATATCCACGACGCGAAACTATAGTTGGGTAAGAGCTATGCCTTTTGCTTGCTTACAAAGACACGTACCAACGCCGCCAAACCTCTGAAGGAGCGACGACTGGTGAGTATAAGTAGGGTGTCTGGCAGCGCTCCTGGCGCACACGAAGAGTGACTGAGGCGCTGCGGAGACAGGTGTCAACCTGACATTCGAGCGAGTAGCACTGTAGCATACCCTTCATGCTGTAGAGTCGGCGGGCTGCTGCCCTGGAAGCTGCCAGCTGTACTCTGAACATCCTGAACGTAGTCTGCGGCAAGTAATACGGACGTCCTCGAGATTTTTTGGAATGGGATAGAAAGCGCCGTCGGAGTTGCAACGCGAGCGTTTATATGCGATGTCGTAGACGCCTGCTCCAAACAGATTCGCTTTCAGTTGACTTCATCGCCCTTGTCGTAGACATGGCCAGCCCAGAACGACAGGAACTACTCAGAAATGCGGTAGTATTTCTCAGAGACCCTAAGGCGCGCAGTGCGATACAAGCCTCTTATTTCTAGGCTGATATTTACAAAGTTGTGCAGACTCAATCGTCACCCCTTGCTCAACGGGTCCAGTTCCTTGAAGCAAAGGGACTAACCGGTTCTGAAATTGAAGAGGCCATGCGACAGGCCGCTGCTAGTCAGCCCGTCCCTTACGCTCCTCCACAAGCGTACGGAGTGTACCAGCCTGCATACGGATCCGCACCATACGGCGCACAACCTCCACAGCCATGGGATTGGCGCGACTACTTCGTAAGGTCGCACGTATCGTTCTTCAAGGTCTTCGCTCACAAGATGAGTAGATCACTGCTGTTGTGTCTGGCACGATAGTCTACGGCGCAGTCGCATTGTTCAAGGTGTGTTCCATTGGCATTCGATGGACAATGTACTTTAATCACATGTATACAGAAATACGTTAAACCGCACCTAAGTCCACCTTCCGCAACTGCATATGAAGAAGATCGCGATGCATTGACAGCTCAGTTTGACGCTGCGGAGACCATGTTGAAAGAAATACAAATGGAAACCAATACGGTCCGGCTGGTAGTGGAGGAGCAAAGAGAGAAGATCGTGAAGACTACACAGGAGGTAGAGAACGTGGTTCAAGAGATGCGTAAGAACGAGGGAGAAATGCACAACGCGCTTAGAGAGATGCGGGACGAGGTTCAAACTATAAAAGACATGCTCCCAAAGGTGTGTTACGCCGCATATCTCGTCGATACGAGGCTTACGTCTTCGGGCTGACTTCTAGATGATTGACAAGAGCAAGGAAACGCATACACAGTCTCTTGTTGAGCTTCAACAGGAGCTCAAGTCACTGAAAACTCTGCTACTGACCCGCGGATCTAACGGCGTTAGCGGAGCTACTACTCCAATAATCCCCTCGAAGCCGTCAATTCCGCCATGGCAATTGGCAGGCTCCAGTCACTTGAGTAATGGATCTTCTTCGTCATTGCCGGCCTCTCCGAGCGCAATTGCTTCTCCAGCCGCTCCTTTCCCAGCGGGAAACAAAGGAAAAGAGGCTGATACTTCATCTGCTTGATATCTACTGCTTTGTGCAGTGGTGTGCCATGCCTGTATATCTTTTGGCCTTTTATGTGTGACTCACTGGTCGGATATGCAATACATGACCACCGGCAGCTCACAACTTGACCGGTGACTACCTGCGAGTGCTGAAAGCGCGGCATCATTACGCGCTGTGAGTGCGCTATAGCGCTGTACGCGACTTCTCCTCAACCCCCAGCTACATCCAATCAGCAGACTCTTGACTAAAGCCGCATGAGTGTGGTATGCTCTGTCGTCTATCACCATAGTAATCAAGTTACACTCACGCTGGAAAGACGTGATGTTCAGTCAATGGCGCCACGCGATGGAAAGTACGCTCTCGCAGCATTCCCCGAAATCATCTCAGGATGGAACAAGCCACGAAGACGGCGCTGCTCGTAATTCATTGGATGCAACGAGCATCAGACAATCTATCTCTTCTTCTACGCAACTAGCAGACACAGCTCTCAATACACTTCGGAAAACACTAGCTACACCGCGACCCGCTAGTCCTGTTTCCAAGAGCTCTTCTCCTGTGGAAGGGCAAACTCGACAACGGACCACTTTGGAGGACAGACTGCGAGCGAGGTTTGCGATAGGGGAGGCATCTAATGGCACGTCTCCAGCTCTCTCTACGGGATCCACCCCTCCCCGCATACCAACGCCAGCCACCGATTATCCCCTCTCCCCATCTCCGCCCGAAGCACAGGCTCTTGCACAGTCGGAGCAGAGTCTATTGAGGTCTCCGAAGTCTATCCCACTTCCCGACTCTCCAGTTACCTCCCCGGCTGTCGCTTCTCCTGTTCCGCAAACCTTTGGAATATTTCACCCCTTCGTTGGTGAGCTAGAGGCTCCACCAACCCTTAACCTTGAACAGCCCAGGTCTCCGACCAACCCAACCTCTGCTCAGGCTCCAAAACTAAAGCAAGCTGTGCCCGAACCTCAAAGTCAACTGTCCAACACTGAGGAGAGAGCAATTCATTCTTCGGAATCCGTAAAGGCCGATGTCACTTTGATTCCATCCTCCGATTCACCTGCAGAAGAACCATCGCAGTCTCAGTCTTCCCTGGTTCCCCAGGACACAGACTCTCCGTTGTCCTCAGCCACAGAGGCTCGCGTGGGTGCGGAAGCAGAGAGCGATGAAGAGATGATAGTCGACTTGAAACAAGATTTACCGGAGGTCTCATTAGCACCAGCAGCTTCGACATTTACGGGCGACGTACCGGACGGCTCTCCATGTCTTCTAGATGCTAGCAACCCTCTTGCTCAAGGAGGCGATGAAGACGCGTCTCGGGAGGTTCTAGATACAACTGTCAGCACATCGTCTTCGGAGCAGATGAATCCTGCGCAGAGCGTAGTAAATATCGCCGATGTCGCGTCTCTCGTATCACCCGATGGACTGACATCAAAAGTTATCGAAGAAGACCTTCTATCTGGTTCGCAGAACCAGGCGCTGTCGGATGCTCACCAAGGTGCAGACATCGAAAGTTTGCAACAACGATTAAAGTTGGTCGAACAGCGATTCGCTGGTTCGTCAAGCAGTGTCGCTCCACCTGTAGGTGTGCTAATGAAACCTCGCAGACGTGTCCACATCGTTCACGAGGCTGCAAGCCGAAAAAGCGGCTGCAGACCGTGTCTTGCATGAGCTGACTTCAGTCGAAAGCATGGTCGAAGCGGACGGTCTCCGCGACTTCTTGCAAAACCTCAATTTAAAGACTGAGGTGAGGCTTTGCTACTGTATGGAGTAAACTGCCGCTTATCCCCTTTTTTCAGATGGCGCAGGACGAGATCAAGCGGCTAACTGGAAAACTTACAAGTGAGCAACCAAGAGATCGCATATCTTCACTAGAGCATGCTAATAACTCACTTAAGGACAGGAGGAACGTATCGAAGAGCTGCGAGACATTCACCGCCTTGAATCGAAGTCGCAGTCTGACCAGATTCGGAAGCTGCGGGGCGAACTGGAAGAAGCTGAGGCCTTAATTAGAGCGAACCAAGGCTCTGCGGCGCATCTCGAGGGGCAGGTTGCTAAGCAGAAGGCGGAAGTGGAACGTCTGCACGTTGAGGTAGACAAGACGAAGGTGTCGGTGAAGGACGAGGAAGAGAAGCGTGTCAAAGCAGTTAGTCTGCTGAAGACCGTTCGCCAGAAGCTTGTGAAAGCTGAGAAGGAGCGTGACGACGCGACGAAGGAAGTCCAGGGTTTGAAGGACAAGGAGAAGGAAGAGAGGGAGAGGGAGAAGGTTGAAAGGCAGCAGCTGCAGGATGAGATCCAGAAGGTGAACGGAGAGCGAGAGACCGCGGTGCAGGGCCTCAGGGCGCAGTTTGACAAAGAGGTTGCTGGACTGAGGGACAAATACGAGAAGGAGATTTCTGCTCTGCGCGGTCAATATGAACTCGATATGATCACGCTGAAGGTGAGTCATATAAACTGGCACCTGCGGACACTACGGCCTGACTAGCTTGTAGTCTGTACACTCAAAAGAGACAGAGGCGAACAACTCCCGAGCCACCGACCTTGAGGCATTCGTGCGGATCTTGACCACTGAGAAAGACGATATCTTCGATCAACTCCAAATGCGTCAAGCTGAACTCGAATCATCGCAGTCACACCTCGAGTCTCTCCAAAGTCAGACCGTGGAGCTACAATACCAGCTCCGTGAAGCTACCGATCGCACTGCTTTGCTCACTGACGAGCTTGCGGAGGCTCGCAAAGAACAAGCGGTAAAGCCCGAGAGTGGACCGCCTCCAGAAGAGGTTACCCGTCTACTATCAACAGCGGAGGCCAAGTATGAGACTCGAATTGCCGACTTGCGCAGACGGATCGCGGCGGTCGAGCGCGAACGAGACGAAGGAGAGGCTCTGTTTAGTAAGCGCTTGGCTGAGAAGGCGAAGGAGGTGGAGGGGCTGCAAGCTCTTGTTAACCTCTCCGCCAAAGGTCGGGAGGAAGAAGGCGAGAACATTACCACTTTGCAAAAGGAGATAGAAAGCCTTCGTGAGGCGTCACAAGTGCAAGGGCGGCTGTTAGTCGAGCTACAGGCAGAGGCGCAGCGCATCCCCGAGTTGGAGGTGCGGAACGACTTCCGGCCAGCCATTGACTCCATCGACTAACCATATTGATCAGACTTTGGCTCAAGCACAGGTTGCTGAAGTCAAGGCGAAGCTTACTGTTTTGGAACAGCAGCTTGAGGAAAGCAAGGCCAGGGAAGCACAAATGCGAGCACATAACAAGGTACAGTTCCCTATATGCCTGGTCGAACAAATCTGTTTATCTCAGTCTAGACTCTGCGGGAAGAGCTTCGCAAAGTACAATCATCTGCCGCTCTGCTCGAACGGCAACGTAATCCCGGTGTCGGTTATTGGGCAACGAGATCTGATGGTTCTTCGGAGACCCGATCACCAACGTCATCCGTCTCTGACCTTCCCAGAGATAGTCCTCCAAGGCCTAGCTCGCCTTCGACAGGGAAGTCAGACGAAGAAGTCAACTACGAATACTTGCGTAACGTCATTCTTCAGTTCCTGGAGCACAGAGAGATGAGGGTAAGTCTGTCAATCACCTCACATATTCTTGATTTATCGACGGCACATGAAGCCACATCTTGTCAGGATTCTCTCGACAATCTTGCGGTTTACTCCGCAGGAGACTCGACGGCTCATTGCGAAAGTTAGCTCATGAGCTCACTAAGGCACCACTTTGGCTCCTCAGAGACTGTTGAGAGGCTCTATCGTGTATCGTATCCTCCGTGAATTATGTCCGCGTTCCGCAAATGAGCAATAAGCGTACGCCTGGAAGGAACGCGGTGAGCCAATCAGATGCTTCGAGCGCCACAAACGCGGCGCTTAGAAGCGAACATCTAGACCGCGGCGAATAGAAGATTCACGCGGAAAGCTTCCGAAGACGAGCTATCCCATTATCCCGATTCGCAAGCAAGCCATTGGTTGCGGCACAGAATAGCTTCATATCAGGGCAGCTTACATCCGAGGCGATCCGCTGACTGCTCCGCCGTCCGGCTGTGGGTTACGATAATATAATAATGATGTAGTTGTTGACCCTACCACCCCTTGGGAGGCTAAGTAGGGTTCGTCATCTGAACCGAAGTGCAACTTCCCGTATGCGGAGCTCTAGCTTGACCTGCAAAGTGGCACCATCCTACGATGAATGGTGAAGCGGCAGAAGAAATCGTTCGACGCAGGCATGTACAGTAAGCCTGACCCTCGCAGACTCACCACTTGAGGACTTGGCTTTTGTAGCATTTGTGCTCTGGTGACTCTCTTAACCAGCCGTCGTCAGCTGCACTTATGCAACCCACCGTTCGCACATTTTAATAAATACTTTACGGTCCCATCGTCTCGTGCGACCGCGCGCCCTCAATGTTTCTGGCTTGAGTCAGCTTAAACGACAAGGTTCCGAAGCAATTGCAGCCTAGAAATACGGGGAAATGTGACCTCCCATCAAGCATCCATGAAACGGTCTCCTATTACGCCGTCATGGTTAACTCGATCCATCAATCGATACGTTGGTTCCGTCTGCTATAAGTGACAAGGGGAAGGGAACGATGCGGGTGAGAAACTCATGCAGTGTGATGACAGCTGACGGACGGAGCAGGATGCCGAGGCGCTGCACCCCCTCTAATAGGGAGAGAGGGTTAATAAAACACAACAGACTTAGAGCTGGTCATTGTAAGGAGATGTGTCACTCTTGTCCAACGAACATACGTACTCTTCTCACATACATTTTAGACCACAGGCCAACACGAGGATAGTACTCAGAGGTTGTGTTGTGTTCTAGAAGTGTCGCTATTGTATGCAGTTGAAGGTATACTGCATGCTGAAACAAATGCCGCGTCATCCGGATAGACTCATTTAGTTGTCCCCGCATCTGATCCTTCCAGTAAGGCCGATGGCAACCAGCCGCTTGCGTTAAACCGTAAGATCCAGGAAAAACTCAAGAATGTTAGACTTATCGTTTCTAAAGCTTCCCAAAAGATATCCGTTATATCGCGAGACTCGTGCGCCACCGGCGTCTCAGGGACAAAAGGTTACAAACTAAAGCGTTAGACAAAGAAGTACTGAGCGTATTCGAACACTGAGCAGACAAGAGGAAGAATAGAAGGGATGTCGTAAATCATGATGCATTGCAAAGAAAATCCGTCCAGAAGGTTGGACGCCGTCCTTTCACCACAGCTTGTTCTTGGGAGTCCTGAAGTCGATCCAAATATTGAGGCAGACCATGGGCTCGTCTACAACGGAGTAGCCACGGACGTTGACTATGAAGGGCGCTATACAATACACCAGTCAATTACATATACCATGCGGAACACGAGATAGCTCTACCATGCGGAATTTCCCGAGGAAGAGCAACAGTCTGGACGACAGTGTGTTCTCCTTTTTCCACAGGACATGAGATGTCAGACTCAGCCTTGCGACTTCGAGACATGTGAGTTCCCTCTGAGTGGAATTCAGAAGGATGACACGTACGCCTCTTCACAAAGGTCGAACTCCTTATCGAGCAATTTAATGGGACCGACTTTCACGGTCACATCTGCGTACGCGCCGTCCTGAATAATCCCATGAGTGGCGACCACCACATGAGAGAATGTTGCGCACTTCTACAACCGTATCTGTCTGGCCAACAACCTTGACAGTGAGATTTTGTCCAGGAACGGGTGGGTCCGGAGAAATTTCGATAGATTTGATGTGAACAGGATAGGAAGAGTCGCCTTTTTGCACATCAGCAAGTCATTAAAAGAGCAATCCGGACAGTTACATACCACAGTCTTCGTATCTCCACTTATCGCTCTTGAGGGACGTTTGAAGCGTCTCCTGAGCAGGGCCTGCAGCAGCAAATCCGGCAGATACAGCGGCCAGAAGAGCGAGGAAAGAAAGACGTGCCATGAGAGATGTAACCGTGGATGAAAGTAGCTTTGAGCAAGTGTGAGGGGTGGAACGGATGACGAGCCGGGGGAGCCAAAGGAGCGAACCGACGTCACGTGTACGCTGCCTCTAGCGCTAAGGCGTCTGGCTGGCTCAGCTTTGGCGCTTGTGCGGCTGTGCTGGAGCCACTGCGGCTCACACTGCGGGCAGCAGCCGCCGCCCTTTAAAGCTCTCCTTCCACCTTCTGCTCACTTTTCACGAATGTATTGCTCTCCTGAAAGCTTCCCTTGCGTATCTTGCTGAATCTTCTCCCCAGACCCTACTCACCAGGCCTAATCCGCAACCAGGTTTCACCAATCATCCCAAACGAGCAGGTTCTCGAAACATAATCCACCATGAAGCCTCGCGACTACTGCTGCTGTGCCATCCCAACGGTTTATACTGGCATCTATGCTACTCTGGCTGAACAGTTTACGCTAGGCGTGGTGGCAGGTACATTGTCGGTTGCTACTCCCCAAAGTGAGTTTGTCCAGCCGTTCTCGCACTACTAGTCTCCTGAAACGCATATGCAGTTGTGGGTGCGGTAACCTTCTCTGCTGCGAAATGGATCTTTGCAATCGTCTGTTATGTGGGTGCTGCGATCCAGGTGTTAGGTTTCATTGCCGTATCCCAGGCAAGTTTCCCGAATTCCTATGGTGACAGGTGTCACGGACTGATGAGAACAGGAGCGCTCTATCATGTATCGGCGGTACACTACGCTACATATTTTGATCACGGTGGCCGCCTTCTCTGTTGCTGCCGTCTGGATAGCCCTCTCGGCGGCGCGCCACAACACGGCAAAAACCAACTGCGAATCTCTCTTCTATAACAACACGACCGAACCGTCGGAGGCAAACACGCTTTGCGATATTTTCCCATGGGTGGACGTTGGTCTGATGGCCGGATTATGGGTGCTCCTTGCTGTAGCCCAGGTATGTGATTAAGCTCACTGTTTCCTATCAATGAAACTGATGCGGGGTCGACAGCTGTACTTTTACGTCGTTGTTTCATCCTACGGGACAGGCCAGCGACTCGACCACGAGAAATATGACTCAATGTATGATCCCACGTACCCTCTCACTTCGGACATTCCGCTAAACAACCGAGGTGACCCTTGGGACGCACGCCCATCCGACGACATACCCCGATACCAACACGGTAGGGAGGACAGCTTTGGCAGCATGGAACAAATCACGGCTGACAAGCCGTACGACCCGTATGGCGGTCCTGCCTATCCATCCGAAGCTTTCGCCCAGGAGCCAAATCCGGCATCACATGTCCAGGACAGTTACTACAACTCATACAACGCTGGAGGGAGCATGCCTCGTCCGGAGACGGAGCAGCCTCATCCTGGTGCGTGACGTCCCCTGCTTGGCTCGGCTCCTACAAAGGACTGTCCTGGCGACTCTCCTAGTGGGTCCGTAGCTACCCTGCATGCTACCAGCCTCAACTTACACCCTTTCAGCTGAACGCTCATTCAGGCGAAAGACATCACGCCTGCAGACACCACTTTCAGAGGACTTTAGGATTCCTTAGCGCATCGATTTTACGGACGATTACACTAGTCTCTAACCTGATAGACACGTTTTTTCTACGTTGTCATCGAACTCGAAACGGACATCACCTTGTATTTTCTTTGTTGCTCAATGCAGTCTCACGTGACCGTCACCGGAGACAGTTACAATAAATATGTTAGAGGTTAGCTTCGAGCTAGTGCTACAACAGCGTAGCAGTAATGCAGCAGCAGAGAAAGCCTGTACGCGACGACCAAAGCGAGCAAACAGGAAGGAAGAAAGCAGCAACCCTGTGTCTGCCAGTCGCCAGCATATCGCTGCATGCAGGATTGCCAGCAAGAACCGCCCCGGCGGTCAGTCAGCAGGGTTTGTACAGTGAGCAATAAGAAACCTGATGTGACAGATATCCAGAGGATATTGATATCTCAACGAGCACTTAGCATCGCAGATGCATGGTAATCCTGCCGTTCTTCGTGGTGCGGTATCCCCTTAAAGGTTGAAGACCCAGGTCATGCCGGTGAGACGACCCACCGACTGGTCGGCAAGCTGAGTGAATGCCGATGGAGAGAAGTCGAGCGAGAACTCGTCGCAACCTGTGCAGCGATCCGTGATAGCGACTGTGACCGACTTGCCTTCCCCTACCGTGCGTTCACCATCATTAAATGAGCAGCAAGGGAATTGTAGAGGAAAACTCACAGTTGGCAGTAACCTTCATGTTACAGATAGGGTTGTCGTTCGGGTTCACACCGTCATAGCCACTTGTGAAGACGTGTCAGTGTTATACAGAAAGCTATCAAGTCAACACAACTTACGGGAATCCGTCGAAAAGTATGTGGGATGCGGCAGCAATGAAGTCGGTGTCGACATTGTTGATACCGCAAGCACCAAGGCCCGTCTCGTACCACGTAGCTACAGAAGGCGTTGAGTCATGAATTATTCGGGGAGCATGAGCATTTTCGTACCATCGCCAGAGTGCGAGGAGCTCAACAGGCTGCTATCGCTGTCGGAGGAAGAGGGAGACGGCGAAGACGCCGCAGCAGACAAGGTGGTTGTTTGCGTAGGAGTTGGGGACGGTGTAGGAGGTGCGGGCTGTTCCGACGAGGTGCTGAGGGGAGCTGCAGCGCTGCTTGGTGCTTCGGATGACGAGGGTGCAGGTGGGGGAGTGGACGACGTAGTCGGCACCACGGAAGATGTGGTCGGGACGGCAGAGGATGAAGGAGCAGGAACGGCAGAGGATGAAGGAGCAGGAACGGCAGAGGATGAAGGAGCAGGGACGGCAGAGGATGAAGAAGCAGGGCCGGCCTCTGAAGACGGAGCGGGTGCTTCGGACGTCGATGGCACAGCGACCGAGCTTGACGACGGGGCGGCACCAACATTGTTCGCTGCTGACGAGGTGGACAGGACGCCAACCGAACTCGACACAGCACTAGACGAGGGAACCGCGCTAGACACAGCAACACTGAACGTGGAGGTCGCACTGGTGCTCGACGTGGGGACCGCGCTGCTGAGCAGTGTCGAGGTCGGGTTGCCTGCCTTGCAACGCTTGATCTGGCGCTTTCGTGGAACAACAGATGGGGCAGCAACCGGTGCAGAGGGCGTCTCGGGCGAGGCGTCCCTCGCAGCTACTGCGTGACGGCGATGGTGCACGTTACGAGCGATGTGTTGTGTCGAGACGGCAGAGGCCGACACGGCCATGGCGAGCAGGACGAGCGCCTTCGGAACGTACATTGCTGCTAGGGGTTTGTTGAGGGAGAGGACGGGAAGAGGGTCGAGCGACGGCAAAGAACGTCTGAAAGGACAGAGCCTTTAACTGAGAGGGGAATGAGCGACAGAGAAGGAATGGGGGGACTCGCAAGCGAAGGAAGCGAGGAGGATGTGCCGACGACGACCGCTCAGACAACGTTGTGAAAGCTTGCAAGCAGTGGTCGCGGCTTCTTATACCTCGCAGTGTCCCTGAAAATTCCGCACAAAAGATTAACGTTTTAACAATTCATCAGGATCCTCGCCAATATGTTTTTACTGAACTTGATGAGACTGCCCTCTTATGGTACACTTCCGGGCCCAATTACTTGCGGGGCGGAGGGCCCGTGCTGTGCTGCGGGTGCCGTCTGCTTGTTTGCAGCCTAACAACGCTCGAATTGCCGAACGCTTCATTCACAGCAAATTTCACTTCGCTCAAAATAGTACATCCATGAGCATACTATATCAAGCTTCAAAGCTTCACATGTCACACGTTCGCCGTGCCTCTCGCGGCGTACATTTTGACGAGACCTGTGCTCGACGTCTCCTCCAACGTCTTTGAGTATGCGTCAATGCGACCAAGCAACATCATGCTCTCCAGCCGGCTCGGCTCAGGTGGAATCTTGAACAACCGGCTAACGTCTTCCTCCGGCAGCGGCGCAAGGCCCTGCGCAAGACGGGCAGCGTTATCCTCCTTGCGCTTGGCGACGTACGCGTCGGCCTTAGCCTTCTCCCGCGCAATCTGGCGCTGGTTGTATGCGATGTTGCCTTCCTCGGTCTTGTACGCATCCATAGCCTCAATGACTTGTTCCAAATTCTTGTTGACATCATTGGTACCAAGGTTGAGGACGGAGAACGAAGGGGGCAATGCAACGGACGCCTGTGCTGACGCAGAACTGGGTTCTGAGACGGGGGAGGTTGAAGGTGCACTCAAGGTCTCCAGGAATGCACCTAGAAGTGGGCTCGTGCGGATTTTGATCGGGACCTCCTCGAGAATGGATGAGAAGGTGAGGCGGTGACTGATTAAGCTGCGGCCATGTTGTATAAGCCGAGGTTTCATGGTGCATTGGGCATGGTAAGCTCACCTGTCTGTACTGAAGTTGTTGCGCTTGTATGCATCAAAGAAGGCTCTCGTGAGCCTGAATGCACGGAAGGCGGCATTCCCCCGAGCAGTTTGTGAAATATCTGTGAGAACATCCCTAATTAGCGCAGGTGGGACAACGGGACAGAAAAAAACGCACCGTGGACAAGGACAATGCCGCCGTGGCGCAGCTTGTCTTGTTGTATTGCCTGCGTTTCCACGAGACTTTGATTGTAGAAGGAGCCAAGAGACATTGCTTGGTAGAAACCAATGATGCTGTCATCTGCCTGGACCTCCTTGAGAGATCGCAGCATAGAGGCCTGGTAACGAGCTGTTCAGTGTGTTAGCATGAATCATGGTCGCCAGTAACATTACTCACCAATACCCTTTACCGATTTGTCATCATCATCATTAATATGTTGCGGCAAGGCGAACGAGTTGGAAACCTCAAGGGTACCATCCAGGTCAAGACCGAGAAGGATGCCATGTGCACTCGAGCCTTGAGATTCCCGGGCATGTTTAATAATTTTGGAGACTACCTACGATGAGAACAGTTAATGTGTGTCATGAATAGTGGACGCGTACTAACCATGCCATCGAGCTGAACACAAGTGAGTGGGATGTCGGCCTCGAGGTCAATGACCTTGGCCATGGAAGCAGGGATGGCTTCATGCGTCGGTGCTGCAGGAGTGGGCGCGGTAGAGGGCGCAGGGAGCGAGGCAGCAATTGCTGCAGCCATTGACGGGGCTGCTGCCATCTTGAATGCTAACGAGAGTGGCTTGAAGCTCACTCTGCAAAAAGAAAGCTAGGATGGCTCACAAGGCGGTCGAGTTCCAAAACGAGTCACGGCGTTAAGTAACAGACCAGAATTTCCAAATAGCCCAGTTGATTAGAGCGCAAGACGGTGCTTGTTCGAATCCGGCGCTGGCCGTTTTTTGTCGGCTCCGGCAAACACCGCGGATGAAGTCAGGCTTCATAAGCGCTCTGAGTGCTCCGATCTCACCACAGACGTTGAGCACGAACCACGCCTTGTCAATGCACTAGCCATGAAGCGGTCTACCAGAATCCTCATTCTACTCGTCATCGACGTCTTTTTCTTCTTCATCGAGCTCATTGTCGGTCAGTCCTCACTGTTCCCGCTAGGTCTCGGTTGTGCTCATAAGCTCCCGAAATGTAGGCTATGCCGTCGGCTCGCTTGCTCTCGTAGCAGACAGCTTCCATATGCTGAAGTGAGCTCGTGCGGTTCGGTACTTGGCATGCCCGTCAGTAGCTCAATGCCCCTCTAGTGATGTTCTGAGCTTGATAGTCGCCCTCTACGCAATCAAGGCATGTCATCAACATCCTTGTCGTGTGGAGCAAGCTAACCTCCTTTCTACAGCTCACCAATCAGAAACACATAGATGCAAGATACTCTTATGGCTGGCATCGAGCAGAGATTCTGGCCGCCTTGATCAATGGAGTCTTTCTCCTCGCACTTTGTTTTTCGATATTCCTTGAGGCTATAGAACGGTTCTTCTCCACGCCGGGTGAGTAACCGCTTGGCTACAGTGCACACGTGTGCTAACACTAGCTGCTAGAGATCTCGCAGCCTCGCCTTGTCGTTATCGTAGGCTCGCTGGGTTTGGCTTCAAATATAATCGGACTCTCCCTCTTTCATGGTATGTCAACAGTCTGCCTTCCCCATTCATGTCTAATTTGACCCATAGAACACAGCCATGACCACGGTCACGGTATGAGCGCTTCTCTTGCGTCCACCTCTCCTACACCCAGCCTCCGCAGCCGTAGCGGTAGCGACGCCGACCTTACGCCGCGAGCTACTTCGCCAGATGTGCGGAAGCGCAGCAAGTCGCGTCCTCGGTCCGAATCCTACTCCTCGCTTTATGGACATCCCGCAGCTACTAGGCAATCTATGGTCCAAGCAGCTCAGGAAATTGCACAAGCAGGCTCTCCAACCATACCAAGCAAGAAGCTCTCTCGCGGTAGTCGGTCCCGATCGAGAGCTGCAGGCCACGAGCACGAAGATCACCGCGACGATGCGATGGCAGTCAGTTCTGCGTCTTACATGCCCGTAGAGTCAATCTCGTCTCCTTCTCGTTTAGACGAACGCACTCCTCTGCTCACGTCAAGTCCGTCCTCTGAATCGGTCCCGCATTCTTTGCATGAAGACCACTCGCATTCTGCCGGTCCCGGTCATGGTCATGGGTCGATGAACATGCGCGCACTTCTGCTACATGTCTTTGGCGACGCTCTTGGGAACGTTGGCGTTATCGCTACAGGTCTCGTTATCTGGCTTAGCCACTGGAGCTGGAAGTATTACTTCGATCCCGTCATCAGCTTGGTAATCACCGTTATCATCTTCTCGTCTGCTCTTCCCCTTGGTGCGTGTCCTCGCGGTCATAGACTCATTCAGTCCTTACGGTACTATTCGCACAGTACGCAGCACCTCGTTCATCTTGCTGCAAGGTGTCCCACCAACGGTGTCCCTTGATGAAGTCCGCGCTGCTATACTTGCGGTCGATGGTGTGCTCTCGCTGCATGAGTTACATGTTTGGCAGCTGTCAGAGAACAAAATTGTGGCCTCCGTACATGTGATGGCCTCACGTAACCACGACTTCATGCCAGTTGCAGCCAAGATAAGGAAGGCGCTGCACGAGCGTGGCATTCATTCGAGCACAATACAGCCTGAGTATCATGCCTGTAACTCTCCCCCTGAGGAGCACTTGAAGGTGCGTAGTGGCTGAGGCAACGTGTTACCTCATCCCGCTTACACCAATGCACCGTCAGACCTCGACAGACACCAGTTGTCTCATCCTCTGCCCCCGAGACCAGACTTGCGTCGCTGAAAATGCTTGTTGCCGTACGTCGCAGTTGTCGTACTTTAATTACACCATCTCATGAAAAACGTTAGCGCCACCATCGGCACCCGATGTTTAAAACCGGTGTCACGCTTTCAAGAGCTGTAATGGGTACGGATGCCGACTCTACTGGTGTATATCAATCGCGCTGTACCCCTGCTGTAGTTACGTATCTTAGTAACACTGCTATGTCTTTATTCTTGGCTCACTCAGTCATGAAAGTGGGAAAGTTAGCCATGAACGAGGAGGAGGCCCCAAGGCGCTGCATAATCACCGTACTAGTTGGACTGTGTGCTTTTCTTAGCTCCCCGCTCAGCCGTCTTGCCATCGTCAAAGCCGGCTGACCGAGCACCAGCCTTTGCTCCTTGCACACCGAGAGCAGTGCCCACTCGACGAATAATGCTGCGGTCAAGGCACTGGAGATGATGCCGACTATCAGCTCAACCATGATGGTCTGTTCGGCGGGAGCGAGGTTGTCGGCGGAAGCAATGATAGTCGGGAGAACGACGTGCAGGAATACCGGGAGCAGCGGCGGCGATTGTGGTGCTCGAGGCGTGCCGAGGACAAACGTTGCAAGGCGGCGCGGGGCTTCCAGTTCGCCCATTGCGGACGCCAGCGTGAGCTCCATCCAAAAGACGGTCAGGAACTTGATCGGGTTGGTGAATAGGAGACACCGCTCGACGTCCAGCGAGGGTGCTTTACCCGTCCGGGCATCATTGAGAGATCCACGTATGGCATGAACCACAGGGTCGGTGATCTGAAGCGGCTGCGGCCGAGGCGGCTCTGTCGCTGCGTCCTCTGTTTCTGCACCATGAACAATCTGATAGGTATAAGAAGAAGTAATTCATACCTTCTGCTGGTGCTGGAAGGCCCAATGCTTGCAACGCCAGCTTGCGAAGTAGCATGGGATCGAAAGCCTTCATCGGAGATTGCGATGGTTGCGGCGTGGTTTTCGGAGGAAGCGTCCGTAAAACTTGGTGCGCAGATAATCTCAAGACGGGTCCAGGACACGAAGGTGACTGGAGCAATGTTTGAAGTATCTCGATGTGAGGTGATACGGCGACACTGCACGGCCGACAGTCAGTGCGAGAAGACAGGACAAGAGGTACTGTGCGTACGCTCTCTGCTTAATCTCCCGCAAGAGCGCCCTGATCACCCCTGCCGTCGTCCAATTGAGTAAAGGACTCTGGAAATACGAGACGCCATTGTACAAGGCATCCTTGTCTAGCTTTTTGCTAGAGTATGCATTGATAGAACCGAGAAGTAAGGTCGCGGCTATTCGCAGCAAGCTATGCGGTCGCGTATTACGCAGAATTGAATCCTCGATACCTTCGCTTCCGGTATCGAATAAAGTCTTCTGCCAGCTCTTAAAAGCTGCCTCGTCCTCGCCCTCAAGCTCGTCAGGTCGACGCATATATGCTGCAGAGTTGAGAAGATCAGTTGACAAGGTCCTTTCTCCCAAAGTGAACTTCGAATTTTCGAGCTGTCCAGAGGGTCAATAATATGTGCTCAACGTTTTTAACCCAAGCAGATACACACGTTAAATTTGATGAGAGCCGTCTGTGCGAATAAGACGACATTGCCATAGTGACTAACAGCCGCTTGTGGATCGCCTATTCGGGCACAATCAGCAAGACGTGCAGCACAAAGGAAAAACTCAAGGAGAAAGTGGTGCCCACCAACAGTCTCACAGTCATAGTCTTCGACGATAGCGAGGGCTCGGGACAGTAAATCTTGTATCGTGACATGAAGTGACAGAATCTCGAGGGAGTGCTCATGGGAATAAAGTATCTTGCACATGTGGCCGAGCGATTCAATGTCATTTGAAGACGAGTACGACTTGAAGCGCTGTATTTACTCCGAGTAAGTTTCAGCGGGTCGGTGGGAGAAGAGCACTGAAGGAATACCTTTTTGGCTATGTCAGCAAACGCCGCGTGGCTACATGGATCTTTCCATATCTTCTCGAGTATGGGCATAGCGTCGTCGACATTCATGTCCGTGCTGAAGCGCGACTCCAGATACGACTGCAGCGAGCGTTGAGTGTCTAAGAATTTGCAACTCCAACTCTTCGCACCTCTAGGTCGGATCCGTGCTCCTGAGCTTCCGTTTGCATACGAGAGTGGAAATCGTTCTGAAGGTTTGGATTAAAGCTTGAAACCACCGCTTGCTCGAGCAAACCGACGGCCAACAGCTGGTGCAGCAATTCTGTCATAAAAGGCTGTCCTCTGGGAGTATTTAGGTGTTCCGACCGTTGAAAAGTAAGGCGAACTCACGGATTATGTTGACTATTGTGGCTGTGATTATTCTGCTCTGTAGATGGGTGGCAATAAACGCTGTCACATCTACTCAGCAGATCTGCTCGCTGGAACAGAGAAGTAACTGCTATCTGCATGGCTGAGCGCTATATGGCAAGGCGTCTAAACCGAGAATGAGCGAACGCTGACCATCTTACATACCCAATCAGCTTCGGAAGTACCGTCCAGATCGACCGACTTCTCGAACATAGACAACAGCTGAGGCAGCTAGAGCACTTGTAAGACAACAGCGACGATGGTAGTCTCTTCGGCTTATAAAGTTGCGTACCCGACCCACTATGAATGCCCGCCATAGTGCAGCAGTCCGGCTGCTAGAATGTGAAGTGGCTTGGGAGAAGCAGGCGACCGCGGATTGCATCAACTGCGTGTAGAATGTTGCTGGTGTCCAAGCAGTCCAGCGTACGAGAGCAACCAGAAGGACGATAGCCCGACGGCCATCTCCTGACCCGAAATGACTAGCTCGATGGGTAACCTATACACAGACGCTATCGTGAGCTTCTCTTCCAAATCAGAACGGGGTACTCACGAGATTGTGCAAGAGTAGACCACAAGTGATTATATCTTTGCCGCTAGAGGTTCCGCTGACGGCATCGCCTTTCCCAAAAGTCAATTGGAGTGTGTGCATCATCTGAGTTTCGCGCGCTGCGTCATCGCCGATCGCATTGTGAAGAGCAAACGTGAATTGATCTAACACATGTCTTGTCGCTGGAGAAAGGCGGAAACCAGCAGGTGTCATTTCGGCCATGTCTTGTAGGAACATGATCCCCAGTGGTGTAGGTATCTGTGAGACATCGCCGACAGTTGATAAAAGCAGGATCAAGAGTTCCGAAGCAGAGTTTGTCAACTGGTGGAGGTGGGTCTGGGGCAGAGTGTGCGCGATTCTTAACAGTGCAGTAGCATCCAGGACCGTGCTGAATACCACGGGTAAAGGCTGAGTAAACGATACGACGGAACCTATTGGAGGCATGCCGGAGGAGTAGTGACATTCCAGTGCTAGCCTGCAGAGCATGTCTAGTGTCGACACGTTTTGAAGCTCCAACGACCTCGCCGCCGACAGGAAGGTAGAAATGAAGGTCGCGAGTGAAAGTATACCATCCTGGATGGTATACTGCAGGTATGCGTTCAGCGCTGGATCCCCAGGGTAGTTTCTAAAGAGAGCCAGGACAGAGTCTTCTAGAGTCAGCAGCTGGTGATGGTGAGCAATACTACTTTGCTTACTACTCAATGCGGATTCAACGTCCTGATGTGACACCTGCGTGAGATGTTTGGACACGAACAACTTGCATAGGCTGAGCCACTGCGAGCACCATCGCTGAGCACACAAGAAAGCTATTCATTGCAGAAGTTATTGATTTACTTTCGCCGCGGATATTCCACTCTGGAAAGAGTTCCTCGTCAGCTCGCTAAAAGACATCAGAACTGCACGACGTTGCGTCAATTCTGTGAGTGCTGAGTGAGGGAGAAAACGAGACTCGCGTCTTATACTGCCTTGCGGTGCAATCCAGCTTGTCGCTCTAGAATCTAAATCAGGTATCAACGATCACGAGATTGGTTTCGGGGTCTCTGTGCGAGCGCCCGAGGAGAGATTCTCGCTTTGCCGCCGGGGACTACAATGCAGTCCGCTGTCCGCTTCCACCTCCGTCGTCCGTTTACAACTTGGCACCGTATGGCTGGCCCACCCAAGTTCCGTGGTCCTCTCAGATACCTTCTAGTCCTCGACTTCGAGGCAACTTGCGGCGATGTCGTAAAGCAGATGGAAATCATCGAGTTCCCGACGTTGCTATATGACTTGCATGAAGGCATGGCTCGTCCATTGCCAGCTTTCGTTTGACTTATGTTCGAACATTTGCAGGCAAGGTTCAGGCAACATTTCACGAGTACGTGAAACCCGAGATACACAGCCGTTTGACACCCTTCTGTACAGAATTAACTGGCATAACACAGGTTTGTCTTGAGCGTCATTCTTGAACCTTTCTACGACTGATGGGACTGTATGTACGCATTGCAGGAAACCGTCGATTCTGCTGAAAATTTTCCAGCAGTATGGAAACGATTCCAAGAGTTTCTTGCATCTCATGGTCTCCTGGATCCTGAGAAGATGGAGTCTCACATATTCGTGACTTGCGGCGATTGGGACCTCAAGACTATGTTGCCCAAGCAACTTAGTCTTGTAGAGGCTGATCACGGCTTGGACGAGAGCGGCCGAGTTGTTGCTCCCTACAACCGTTGGATCAATATCAAGACCCCATTCAAGAAGCGGTTTAACATGACGCGCTTCAACGTCAGTATGCCCGCCATGTTGAAGAAGCTGCAGCTGGAACTCGAAGGGAGGCATCACAGCGGCATCGATGACTGCAAGAATATCTTGCGGATCATTGAGAAGATGATCGCTACGGGATGGGATCCCAATACCACCCAGGCTTCTGCGTCGACCTGGTCGCCCAGACCGCCAGCTGCTACTGGCTCCTCTTAATTGTCTACATTAACTGCCGCCCATTGCATCCCGCGTTCCGCGTCCCTTTGCGCTCATAGCATCCGGGAACGTGACTCTTGGAAGACAATAAGGGGGCGCCTGCCGCCCTAGTGATGTTCCGAGAGGGACCTGTTCCTGCCAGATGCACTATTGGTGCCGAGCTCATGCATCGAGTACACTAGGTAGCCGTCCGTTATGTTGAGGCGATACTGTGTATCTATCATCTGGGGCTGATGCCGTGGGAGAGGATGCGCCCCGGAGACAATAAGGATTCTACCCGCCCGTCTACGCACTTACATGTTTCGCGGAAGTTAGTGATACGTCCGGTCTGCTGGGTGACCATTGCTCATTGTGACCTCGCACGGTAAGTATATGAAACCGCCGCACGAGCATTCACCTCGAGTGTCTCCGTGAAGTATGTCGCCGACCTGCACCATCCCCTACGAAGTCCTGTTTTGTGTCGTCAATGACACGCCTTATGCAGCCACATTTCAAGTACTGCGTGTAGACAACGGGCTACGGGCTGGCCCTACTGTCCTTCTGCACAGGGGAGAGAGTATATCTCTTGTGCTTACCGCCGGGCAGCCATACAGATATGCGGTTAGACAGCACGGCAAAGAAGCGAACCTATCGTAAGTCTAAGCCACGTCGGCACCTATGATGTCTGACAATAGTGTTCTGCAGAGTAAAACTATGGGACGACGGCAGATGCAGCATTCGAACAGCATTTAATCCCCTTGTATGCTCCGGCGACGACGAGCTTGAACGAAGTAGCATATCCGACGGCGTCACTGTTGCATTAGCTACATTCAAGGTACACCCAAGCTTCCGACGAATGTATGTACACAGTTTGGTACCGTTTGCTGTCTACCCATCGAACCGAGCAAACCCAGACTATGATCATTTTCGCGAAGGACGAGAAACGAAGCTGGGACACTACTGGGATCGCTGCGCTTGAATTTCGGCAGCCCGTCTGGTAGAAAAGAGGTCAAATGACGCGGACATGTAATACAAGGGCTCCTTACGTGAAGATATTCCAGACAGCGGTCTGGTTTGGGTAAAAGGTATTGCCTGTAAATAGACACCTGCGTGAGATGAGCATGGCGCAACATCATATTTCACTGACCATCATTTGGAGAAGCCTTGGTGAAAGACTATTAGTTCGGCGTCTGCACATATCTATGCTGGGCACTCACCCCGTGGTTAACCGCGTCGGAATACTTAATGATTCTGTTGCCGCCGTCCTCCGTCAAACCGAGCACTCCAAACTGCCAAGGCATAATACTGCAGAGAGCGCAAAGTTAACGCAAGGCATTGACATCTTGTATGGATGAGTTCTTACCCACTGAGAGGGGGAAGAGTATGAGCATGACGTGATTATTCGATGAGGAGTGAAGGACACGTACGCATGTTTGGTATCTAAGGCGTGTTGAACCCAGGTCGGGTAGATCTGCGTCTTATTGTCTGGCGAGAAACCGCATTAGCATCCGAAGGCAATCGTCTATCCAATTGCTCTTACCGAGACCACCTAGACCGAATTCCTCGAGCACAATCGGCTTATCTGCTCTGTTTCCAGCTAATAGCTCGATTGTTAAGATGGTGGAAAGAGAGGAGTATAGAGACGTGCCATTGATGTGATCGTTGATCCATTGCAAGCCCCAGTTTGCGATAGAGAAATTACTTCCGGGGAAGTCCTGTCGGAGGATACATGGGTATTGACTAAGTTAAGAGGCGCGGCACCCGTTGAGAGCAGCTTACGAGCTCAGGATACCTGCCACGTCGTCAAATGATATAACGAGGCGCTATAGAGAAAATACTAACCATGATTGAGGATACATATGCTATACGCAGGAAGTCAGAGGCTAATTTACATATTGAATGCCGATTCACTTACGTATGTGGCGAAATCGATATTTGAGAGAGCCAAATTGCGGTCGAAATCCTCGCCGGCTAATAACAGGATGAACGAAAGAGATATTCGAGAGGCGAAGCAACACCACCTTGGCCGTTCCAGTTGTAGTCGCTGACAAGTTGTCCATTGAACCAGCTATTCAGGAAGATTAGCATAGCCAAGCAAGCAATAGAAGCGTTGCCCACTATGTGCGCGGATGAGTCCAGAAGAAATGGCCTTCTCCGCCAGTGGTAATTAAGTGGTCCGGATCCCTAGGGCAGTAAGTTAACACTAGTCGCATACATGAGGTAAGACATTTCGCTCACAGACTCCGGACAAAGTCCGATTGCTCCTTATACCAGCCAAGTAGAGTTTCCGCCCCACTAGCCGGCGTGCATGACGGTCCAGAAGGGTAAGTGTCACTAGAGCACCGTGCCTCGTTTAATAACTCCCAGGCAAAGATATTCGGGGAGTCCTTGTAGCGCTCGACGATGGTGCGTACGTAGGATTCTGAAAGAAGTTTTAGTACCTGGAAAGCGTCATTAGTTCTGTACGTACGATAAGCAGTGATAATGCTCGGATTCTTGAAGAACACATCGTGTGTTGTGCTTCCAGGAGCCATCCATTGAATGTAGAGGTCCGAGCCCTGCATGCGGCCGTCAGTGGGTACGCATACACGCGGTTTTCAAGGCTTACCCCGTACCCCACCCTACATGAGATCAGCCGAAGTGAAGCAGCTACGAGGGAAAGGCGCACCAATTATTGGAGAATGCCACAATGACCTTGATGCCGTGCTTTCCCGCAGTCTCGATGACATTGTCTAGGCGTTCCAGACCTTGGGAGCCAGCGTTGAGGGCGAACGAGCTACTATTCCAGATCTGAAATATTGTCGGTGAAATGCTTTCAACATTTGGAGGAAATGGTTTACTTGATAGTAAGTAAGTCCAGATTCTTTCGCTCCGGCAAGTTCGGACCCGTTGATAGCGTTGAATCCCTAAAGACGATGAGCCTGGCATTGTGAGGCGCCATCAGGCGAGAGCATACCCAGGTACGCAGAACCTTCACTCCTGCTTGACTCATCGTCTGAAACGTGCTCTCGACATCACTCTGTGTCAGAAGAAGAGGTAGCCACTGGTTGGCATGATCGTCCTGTCAGCAACCGACTTCGAACTGAACAGGTAAGCGTCGTACGTAGGAGTTTGCCCCAACAAATGCCTACGGTATGGGTTCTTAGAGAAGTATGGAAACGATCTGAGACAATATACTCACAAAAGGCTCTCCATCGAGTTCGAATTGCGTTCCTTTGGTGGTAACGAAGCCTGGAGGAGCGCTGCGCTTTGTCGTCGGGCTCGCAGCGACACCGGACACAGCAGCAAGTAAGACAAAAGCAGACAATAGTGCTGAGGCGAGCATCTTTGCCAGTAGCATCTCTTGACCGCACGTCCTTCATATATCTTCGACCTTCGTCGTCGCACTCGTCAGCTTCGACCGGAAGAACATCGGGGACGGTCAGCTGAACTCGTCTTCAATACGCCGAAGTGTATCAGGGTGACACAGAGAAAAGGAATGCATCTTATGTGTGCGTCACATTACCCTTGTGTCAGTCGTCTCGTTCCGACCGGGTCGTGCTTTCGGAGTCGAGGGGACAGCTGACTACGACTGTTTCTGGTTATCCTCCGCACACGGAGGACATGAATCAATTATTGTGTGCCTGTAGCCAACAGGAACAGTAAGCCCGGTGACTCGCTCGCCCGTGTCGCAGGACGAGTGTGAACTTGGAGAACTTCCACAATCGGACCTTAGGGCGTCTGACACACCCACGTGGCGAAGGCGATCTTGCAATCGGCGATTTTGAGGACTACAGAACAGCCTGCACCGTTTCACGATGCCCAAGAGCACGAAAAGGAAGAAAGAGAAAGCTGCAGACTTTTCTGTATGTTTCAAGTTTATATTGAGCACAATGCGCTTGACAAACATCGTTAGAAAGCAAAACTAAAACTCGGCAAAGGAAAGCAGACACCAAGCAATGCCGTAGACACTTCTTTCAAGGCTCGGTGTAAGCTCTTGCCCTCCCGGAAGACTCTATCTATCTAACAAGGCACCAGCCATCGCACTGCCGTCGCAGACCATTGTGCATGATGTCGAGCGTGGCATCCCGACGACTAAGCGCAAGCTTACCCTCGACGACCTCATCTCTCATCTGAAGCATTACAATGCTGGTGTGCGGAGAGGCATGTCCAAACAGTTAGCTTCACAGTTTCTACTGCCACTCATGTCAGAGTTCAGATGCTATAATCGGCCTCCGAGAGTTGTTCGAGGACCACCCGGGAGTCATAGTCTCATCCCTCTCAGCTACCTTGAGCAATTGCGCTAGAGTAATCGGCGACGAGGTGTGTATCCTGATGTTCTGCGAATATCACGCGACCTTACTCCGTCTTGTAGGATGTCGGTGTTCGTAAGACGCTTCTGTCTTTCTTTGGCTGGCTGCTCCCCCAGATACCGCGCGTAAGCCGCATTAATTCTCCGAATAGATGAGCATCATCGAATATTTACTCTGTAGCATACCTTGGTCCCTCACGCCTCTATGCTTTTGCTCTTCACGACATCTGCGCAAACGCACATATTCCCCGAAATTCGCTTAGACGCCACACGGTTCCTCGATCTATTCCTTGAACTCTTCCCGGGGTTCGTCATTGAAGGTTGGGTTGACGGGCATGCTGGCCATGGTAGACGGGTCCTAGAAGGATATCTCGGCGTTTTGAATGCGGGAACTGCCTATGGTGAAGGCGGCGGTATGCATCCTTCTATCTTCACATATAACACTAATGTTTACACGTTGCATGGACACAGGACCAGCGCAAGCAACATCCACAGCTAGCGTGATTTTGTCTCCCGCGGTGAGCTGTCTCTATTTGACACACTGCATGAACCATAGCTTATCGGTCGTCACAGTCCAAATTGGTCGTCTTGAGCTCTCTTGCCAGCTTCCTATCGCGAGCCATGTCGCCGAAGGATCCAAAATGGTTTGCGGTCGATCAAGAACAGATTTCCGCTCAGCTTCGCCCTACGCCGACACGGTACATGGCATCCGCATTCGCGTATCCCTCGGCCTTCGAAGCCTTTGACGCCTACATACAGCCCAGCATGCTCTCGAGTGCTACAACTTCACGGAAGTGGCAGGAGGAGGTGGATGACGCATACGTTGAGGATTTTACGGGAAAGTTCGCGCTTGCTGCGAACAGTCTTGAAGACAGTTGGTCTCTAGAGTCCCTGTCGCATCTCGAAGTGGTCGTATCAGGTGATCAGAGCGATGACACTGGCTCTAGTTCTGGAATCAGAGCCGAGTCAGCATATGTATCGGTAAATCGCTTGTTTTGTGTACATCCGGACCCCTCTCACGTAAAGTCAGCACCTTGCGCGAACTCTCCACCCAACTCTGGTGGCGACCTTTCTCGATTGTGCGCCCTCGGTGTTCATTTCGGGGTCATCACCTTTAGAGATTGAACTGCAAACGGTGCTTGCGGTCTTTCGGCTTTCTCGGTGCCTTTACGGCGAGATGCTCTTGGATAACAATGACGTGAGTAACTCGCGTCCTCATGCAAGCTACGGCTCACTATAGACGAGCAGAAAACACGGGGGTCGCCGTACGACGACTTGAGTTCTCTGCTCAGTCACATGGCGCCTTACTTCCCTTTCACGGTGCACTTGTCTCCTGTGGCAAGACGTGAACTAAAAGTGAGCTGTGTGCTACGATTGGTTGAGGTTCGAGCCTAATACGGACTGCTCTTTAGACCGAACAGACTCTGCAAGACATCAACTTGATCTTCTGCCAGCTGACATCGACGTTAATGCTCAAGACAAGCAAAGAAACGCAGATTGCCGCCGGATTGCGCCATCCCGTGAAAGACTCTGCGTATTCCAAGCAGTCCTCGCGAGTGATTGAAACCCTCGTTCAGCGGGTCGGCGACTACACAGTTCAACTTCTTCGTGGTGAGGCCCCGGATAGACCTGACGGGCAGTCTCTCGGTCTTAAGCCGATCACACCAGCAACTTACGCATCGCTCTTGCCGACCGTCTGGGCATTGATCAGCGGCCCGGGCGGAGACTTCGCTGAACATGTTACCCAAGCATGTGTCATTCATGGAACAAAAGCATCGTCGATGTCAGCCGTCAAACGACATACCATCGACTTCATTGGAAGGCTATTGTTCGTAAGTACATCCAGTCAATCTCACGGCTCCTGTCTTATCGTGCTGTCAGCTCGAGACAGCTCCGGAATACCGTGGATTCTTTCGTCCAATGCAACACCATGTTCTGGTGCAGAGACTCCGGGAGTGGTTGTTGCACCTGCCGAAAACGCTTTGGGAGCTCGGGTCATCTAACCCGTCAGCAACTGAGGTACGAGCACAGTACGCACCAGAGGATTTTATACACACATGTTTGCCCTGCAGACTATTCTGCGAGTTATCCTTCGTTTACATCAGCGACGAACGCAGGTCGCAGACTCCGAGGTTTGTGCACTTCACATTGCGTAGGTCTCGTAGCAATTTATTGACGACCCGAATTCAGGTTCTGTCCCAAATCCGGGCGCGTTTGGTCCCCTACTTCAAGATATCTCACCCTACCCGTGGTGAGATACCCGGGCCGTTTGCAAAGCTGCCCTCTGGTTCCGTGCGGACACTTGTAATAGATGTGGCTGCTACTCTGTGCACGTCAGGTCAAGAAGATGCTCTGGATGGGGCGGTGCTTGGAGTAGTAGACGAGCAGGAGCGACAGTACTGGGTCTCTATTAGGAGGGCTCTGCAAAGTTCGTGATCAATCATCATGCGAATTCCTTCTCCATTGTGCGGGGTTATTGTGCTGGCCCAGGACGCCCGAGCGGGAGATGCAACATAGTTGGTTGCCCAATTTGGGAGCGGCACCGGAAACGGGCGGCCCTGCAGAAATGAAGGTTGGTTGTCGCCAGCCTCTGTTGAAGTTGGAATCTTGTTCCCGGACGAGCAGGACGCGTTGAGAGCCTGCCTCGCCGGTCGTGCATGTTTGTTCGTCTGCTGCATATTCACACTCCTTTGCGTGTCCTGTTCCGCACTCCCCCGCCTGGCGCCTTGCGGCACCGTCGAACGCACAAGCACAATAAGCTCGCGTCTCGTTCAACCCTGGCAACCTGGCAACAGGCCCGGATAGTCCTCCTCTGTTCGATACGCACCCAGAGCACAGGCGCACCCATTACCCCGACAGGCTGTGTCTGGACTGCGGACATCACCAGCAACGCCACGGACACTCGGGCGCGAAAGCAACATCTGCAGCCTCATTGTCGTTTCTTTCTCGACGTCAAAAGAAGCCATATCTCGTGGAAACTCGAAGCTACCGCGGTCTCCTCTCCCTCAAACACGCTCTCTTCTCCCACTCTCCCTACGGCCCCTATACCAACTGCCTCGGTTGAGCCTCTTTCTCAGTCCACTGGCCCACTGTCGGCTCCTCGTCCTCCACCATGCCAGCTCGCACAGAGGACTACGAGGTGCTACTCTACTTTGTCAACGACACACACGACTGCGCTACAGTTCAGTTGCTTCGCGACTATGGGCGTAATACTGGTGCCACAATGCTGCTTAGACCGGGCGAGAGCGTGACATTGGTGCTGGACGCAGGCGAGTCTCTGCCCCATCTCATCCTCTTGCCCGTGCGTGCTAACTTCCGATGACAGGCTCGGTGTACCAATACGCGCTGAAAACGCGTTCGAAAGTGGCTAATGTGACGTGAGTCTTGCGCCGCAATTCTTGCTACCTGGCATGCCGAGACATTTTGCAGTGCACGATCGTACAGGGACGTCAACTGCACAGTGTCGCAATTGTTCCCCGGAGGAATGCCGTCTGCGGCGGTACCCACAGGGCCATGGCGGCCCGTTAACGGCATCACTGTTGACCGATTGTGGCGAGACATGCGGTTCTGCCTATGGAATGATTATGACTCATAGCATGCACTGAGGTAGGTGTTGCCCCTTCGACCTATCGGCCCGTCTCATTCACGAGTGCGGCGATCCATATGTAGCACCGCTCGCTCAATCTCTTTCAAACATCCGCTCCCCTTGCCCGCTTGTCGCCGTCATGCGGGCGGTCTGGACACGCCCATCGACACGCCTTGTGATATGATTTCGCAGGGGGCTGGGAAGGCTGAGCAGATGCAAGATACCGGCCCCAGGGTCGGGAACCTCGGCCACGAGTTTGTCCGCAACCTTAACATACCCTTGCATCGCGCTTCGTAACATTATTTCTTGCATTCCAAGGTACTCTATATCGCTATATTATATCAACCATCTACTTTATCTGGCGTGTAACACGTTGTCGCAGCATGTATCACACTGTGCTTAACATTATTACTGCATTTATATCGCGTCACCCCTTGCCGCGTGTTTCGCGCGAGGCGGAAAGCTTCTTTTCACAGATGTGCTTTGCGTGAGGTGAGTTCTTCTTAATTTTGACAGGGACGGACTGTCCGACGTTCATTCAGACGTTCACAAATGGTGGTCAGCGAACCTACGCCTTTGGACAGCAGCCGCAATTGCGCCAATCTGCGGAACTCGCCTCGTTTCGCCAATAATGCCGTACATACTGCGTGCAATAATAGCGCTCGATGCAGAGACGCAACCTATGACCAGGCCACATCGACGAACTGAGTCACTTCCTCTCACCATCGCGCATGAAGCCCATCGTGGCATCGTAATAACCAACGCGTGCCAGGCACCAGAGACAATACCGTGAAGCGTCACGTGAGTTCTTCTCGGTGAAATATCGTGAGAACAATTCGGTGAGGTGTGTTTAGCAAGTAATCTTCTCTTCAGGAGTAATTCCGAAGTACAGCGATACTACAATACTACCCAGTCCACTACGACGCTTCAGAGACCCGGATGATCAAGTAACGAGGATCGTCAATGCATTCGACCTAACTGTTCCCTCCTTCGTCGCCTTCAGTGTCACTGACCTCTTCTCCTCAAATGTTACAGTAACCTGTCCACTCGCATTCGTGGGCTGAAAAAGGTTGCTAACGCTTGCCCCACTAATCGGGTTCCTTGTTGACCCGTTCGTCACGGTCAATACCACAGGCACTCCATGGGAAGCTGTGTGCGGGCCTTCCAGGTGGAGAAGCGTATGCACGTCGCTGCGTTGTAATGCCCAGAGGACTTGTCTGTTCGCTGACACTTGTTCTTGGCAACCCCCGACATTTGAAGCTACGAAGTCAACGTAGAGACGCCAGTTCTGGGTGCTCGTATTGACACCATCCCCTACGCGGGTAATGAAAAAGTCGTCGAATTTGGTATCGAATACTCTGAGTTTTAAGGTACGTCAGCCCCGTTGACACCCTTCCGAACGTAAGAGCAATACTGACGCGTCGAATAGAAGGCTTTCCTTCTCCACGGCGTCCGCCAGCGCGGTGGTCGCAGTTGGACCAGAGACGTTATGGGCCTTATTATTTGTGCCATCACAATGGTGGGAGCCATTGGAGGATGGAGTGGAGATGTTGTGCCCTGTGGTGGGGATTATCCCCTCGAAGACGGTGCAGTGCTCGCCCTCGATGCGAAGAGGGACGGGGACGCTTGGGTCGTTTGCCGGCGACGCAATGCTCGTTGGGGAGGGCAACTCGAGCCCCGACAGCCATATGAGTGGCAGCAGGACGGTTTGAGCGAGAAGTGCTAGAACCGGTGGCATCGTGCAGGCTAGTGCGACGAGGTGTTACACGACGGGACGGCGGACACTTATAGGGTAGGCGTGAGACGACTCGGCCTTGAGGATGCCTAAGTGGGCGGTACCATTCTAATCCATCTTTGCCACCGCCAGGTATGACGGATGGCACTCTGGTCGGCGTAAGAAGACTTTCAGGTGTGTCCAACGTCCAAAACGCCGGACTCTCATATTTCTGGCCTCAGTCCTTGCTACCTTAGGAATCCCTCTCCACGAAGACAACACGCAGGGTATCATCCCTGCGCCGTCTCGTGACGGTCTGCAGAGGGCTATAGGGTGCGTCTCAGCTCTGGACATTTTCGATGCACGTTCGGCATGCTGATGCCGTACACAACCTTCACGCTTCCATGTCGGAATGGAAAACGCGTCCGCATACGAGACGGCTGTCCCAGTCATGTCCAACTATCTCGTCCTTACGGGGGCCGTATAGCTCCCTCTATTGCTGCGGCTTGATGACAAGGCATTTTGCACGTCAAGGTCATGGGGAGCAGCATCCCTTCAGTCTGCGTAAATCCGCGCCCTGACACTATTATGACGAAAAATATTTACAGATATGCAGACCTCGTTCGTCCCGGGGTTCTACCAAATTACAACACGCTCCTATCTTACACCCCCGCCAAAAGCGATGCATGTGACGGGGGCTTCTAAAATCCGAGATGGGCTCTGCAGAGCTCGCCCCTTCGAAGAGTGGCTGGGTTTCCGCCAGTCTGCAGAACTCATCTCATCGCACCAGTGAAAAAACAGCGTCTGACGCAGAGGCGTAACCTGAGACCAGGTCGTATCGACGAATAAGGCTACTTCACCGCTGCGAACGAAGACCACAAACCTCGCGATGCTAGCTCACCTTAGTGAACCGCCCTGAGAACCACTCGGTGTGTGTAGCAGCCTTATGTGGAGTCGCCCTAATTGCAATCTTCCCTTCAACGGGGATATTTCTGGAGTACGCCTGTACTACACAACTGTCCAGCTGGCCATGGCCGCCTTGATCATCATGCGACAAGAATCCTCAGTGCATTTGACCTTATTGTTCCCTCCTTCTCCGCCTTCAATGTCCGTGTCCCGCTTTCCGCGAAGCTCACAGTGACCTGTCCGTCGGCGTCCGTCGGCGCGAAGTCATCGCCGACGCTTGCCCCACTGATTGGATTTCCCACTGCCAATGTCACGGGCTCTCCCTGACGGGCCATGTGTGGGCCTTCCAGGAAGAGAAAGGCATCGGCGTTAAAGGCGTCAAATGCCCAGAGGACATGCGTGTTCCCCGACACTTGCTCTTGGCAGCCCCCAACCTCCGTGAACACGAAGTCGACGAGGAGACCCCAGAATTGGGTGGCCGTCTCGGCGCTATCGCCTTTGCGGGTGATGAAGAAGTCGTCAAATTCGGGGTCAAATGTGCTAGAGTTTCGAGGTACGTTAGCTCAGTCCATATCCTTCGAATTAATGCGTCAGTTGGAGGGATACCGACCCGTCGAACGTAAAACCTTCCTTCTTCGCGGCGTCTGCAAGAGCACTGGTCGCAGTTGAACCCGGGAAGGGATGGGCCCCGAGGTTCGTGCCGTCACAACGATGATCCCCCCCGGATGGAGTGGTGACATTGTGCCCGGTAGTAAAGATACGTCCCTCGAAAATTGTGGTGTTGCGATCGCCTTCGATGCGAAGGGGGACGAATGCGCCTACGTTGCTGTCCTGAGATGCAGCGCCCCAGAGGGCGGGTGATGCTAGGATCGACAGCCACACGAGCGGTAGCAGGGCGAGGTTAAGCATCGTGTAAGCTTAGGTGGCAACTTGGCTTGAGGGCTACTCTGCAATAGGACGGCGAACATTTATACTGGCAGGACACGGCTTGGTAACAGTGCCTGAGTAGAAGGTAGGCTGCAAATCCGCGGCTGATGACATGATGAACACGTCCATTCAATGCCAGTCGTTGGTTCAATTGAACAGACATCGGCCGGAGCGTTGAGTCCCCAAGCTCAAAGGCAGCATCAATGTTCGTGTTGGCTCTCGAGAATTATCTACGTCTCCTTCAAATAGGACGAATTATTCTGCTTCCTGGAGTTAGAGATGTATAGAGTACTCTTATTTGAGCATGCGCGGTACGTGTCAAAAATGATGCTATCGCGGAAGCTGCCGACGTGAACCTAAGCTGCTTACGCGCGTTTGCGAAGATGAGCGGCGGGCCCGGGGTCAGTCGCGACGTATTCCTTGCTAGTCCTATGCCGACTGTATAGCTGTATGCCCAATCCTTGCCTATTCACTAAGTTCACTGTGTGCCTATCGAGCTGAAGATTGCGACTGAGTGTGCTACGTGAAATTCTTACATCGTGCGTTGTTAGCGAGGAAGAGATTCCCTTGACACTCGGATACACCTGAGACAGCACCACTCGCCCAGCCATCAATGCATTTAATGCTCCAAACCACCAGCCAATGGCAGCTCAAGCGCTCAGCGTTCATATACTGCGTCGCGCACCATCAAAATCTGTGCCGTCAACATATCGCATATTTCGTGCGCAGCGTCAATGTAAATCATTCGCTATACATACCGTCATCACTGAGAACCAGTTCTACTCTGGCGCAGGCCCGGCGCGGCCCTCAAACTGTTAGCGGGAAGCATCCCTGAGAAATTATGTACATGTACGTATGCATTGCACGCACGTTGTTGGCCGAACTTCACGACGGAAGCGATGGAAGAGGAGCGTCATCAATGGCACCAGCTGACCCAGCCCATTATAAGAGCGAGCGGGGGGCGCAATGGACCCCAGCCAGACACCCTTGCGGAACGGGTGTAATGATGTACTCGCTATTCCTCGCCTCTGTACTGCCGCTTCTCGTCGCCGGGAAGGCGACCATTGACAGCCAGATTGCGGCTTTGGAGGCGTCGAACTCACCGATCCTCCAATACCCTACGCAGCTCACGCAGAATCTGGTCCCCAAGGCTATTCATTCACACAACGATTGTACGTATTTGGTATCAGACATCGAGTAGAGTCTGATGGCCTTCGTAGACTGGAGAGACGTCCCTCTGCTGACTGCGATCAGTCTCGGAGTCGCGAGTGTTGAAGCAGACGTCTGGCACATGAACGGCACACTTTTTGTTGGTCATCGTTAAATTCACGCCAAGCAGAAATTTATACTCACATGGCGCCAACAGATCGGTCATGAGTTGGCTGCATTGACTCCAAACCGTACACTGGATTCGGTGTACATCCAGCCTTTGCTCAAAATTCTGGGCGAGGAGAACCCCATAGATCAGTTTACAGTCAACTCAACCACGCCTAAGTGAGGATTGTCCTAGCACTCACTGCGCAGTATTTCTTACCATCTTCATCGTCAGCGGCGTCTTCGACACGGCTAGTGACGTACCGCTCCAGTTGCTAGTTGACGTCAAAACGGACGGCGTAGAGTGGGTCTTGTCTGCATAACCCTCGGAAGCCTACTAATGTGTGTAGAGCTCTGCCGTTCATCCTCCAGGCCTTCGAGCCTCTGCGCCAAGGAGGCTATCTCACAACATTTGCGAACGGCACCTTGACCCTTTCAGCAGTCACTGTGGTCGGGACGGGCAACAGCCCGCTCGAACAAGTCAAGGAGCTCTCACCACGCGACTATTTCTTCGATGCGCCGCTGACACAGCTCACCGACCCGTCACTGAATACGACCTGGGACCCGACGCTCTCTCCACTAGCATCGACCGACTACGGGACCGCAGTCGGCTGGAGTGGAATCGGCAACATCTCTGCGGAGCAGCTCGCGAACATCACGCAATTCGTCGGCGACGCACACGAACGCGGCATCAAGGCCAGATTCTGGGACACTCCAGGCTGGCCGATCCATGCGCGGACCGCTGTATGGAGAGTGCTGCTGGAGAATGGTGCAGACTGGCTTAACGCAGACGACTTGGAAGCGGCGGCGAATTTCTGATTGCAATTGAGAGTAATGTACGGAAAGAAGAGCACTCAGTAGCAGAGATAGTTCATATCGAGTTCCATACGGAAGTGGTGTCTATGCCTAGCTTGCGACGTGCAAACCATCCCCGGCCAGCATGTTCCTTGCCCAGAGCACCCTGTGCGAGGCGCATTGCGCTCAGGCCGGTACCGGGTAGTGCTTGACCTGCCTTCAGGCGAAGAGCTTTGCGACCTGCAAGTGGTGTTTCAGGGTCTTCCTCGGCGTTGGCATCCTGTACCATCTCCTTCATGGCAAGCGGTTGTGCGAGAAGAGTGTCCTGCAAGGGCATCAGCCAGGAGGGTCTAGTAGCAGCTTGCGACCCACGATATGATCTTCTGCTTTTTGTCGCAACCCAGTGACGGCATCCTTGCCCCGGAAGCGAAGCACCTTCTGCAAACTCCACCGCGTCTTCTCTCTCAACACGCCTTTCTCCTTCGGTGCTAAGGTCCGCTCGCGCTCAACAATTCCCTGCACATCCTCAACACCGGAATCTACAACCTGCTTCGGACCGACGGTGTTGACTTTCTTCCCGAGGAGTTCCCAGCCGATGGCGCGGGCAGTCATTTCGAACTTGATGTCCCGAGGGTTGTCCACCAATTCGAGGATGGCATGCGGCGCGTTGTCGCCCGGTCGGTTGCCAAACTTGTGGATGCGCGTGTAACCACCTTCACGAGTCTCGTACCGCTTTGCGAGCTCTTTGAAGACCTTGGGTGTGAGCTTCGGCTCGAGCAGGAAAGCATTTGCACGCTGGTAGGCCGGAAGGTCGCCCTTCTTCCCCATTGTGATGATCTATAGTGGCACAGTCTATGTATGTTCGGGACTCGGATAGCTGAGCTGATCACACCTTTTCCGCGAGCCTCGCGGTGTCTTTTGCCTTTGGCAGGGTAGTCTTAATCTGCTCGTGTTTGATGAGCGAAGTCACCAGATTTCTTCAACCTCCTGGTAAGAGACGCGTCCGGGAGTGAGTGAAGGTAGCCATACCGCAACATCAGCATCCTGTGCGAAGATGTCCTTGAGAACTTGCGGAAAGCCACGCCATGTTTCATGGTGGAAGGTGAGCAGAGCGAGTGAGAGCGCTTGTCTGGTCTGAACGAAGTGCTTGCTCTCCGGGCCAGGAAAGGAAGCCGTAGCATACTATAACTCACGCTGCTGCCCGTACTCTTAATGCCCAGACGTGCAGTACACACACGCAAAACGGTGTTGAGCTACGAGAAACTGCCTGATGGTAGATACTGGGGCTGCTGGTACCCGTACAAGGGATGCAGCTCAGTCTCAGCTTACAGCAGCCAATGCGATCGACGACAGCGGAACAAATGCGAAGGAATATAGATATTGACATTCAGAGCATGTTCAAAGCGACAAAGAAGGTTGTAGAAACTGGACTCGATATACTTGCATTGTCTATGGCAGTACAAAGGAGCAAGCCGATGAGCTGTGCATGACACATCCACTTACTTCGCCTAGTACACGTAATTTCCGTCGCGACTGGGCTTGTACGTTGTCATTGATTGCGGTGTGCTCTTAGGAGTTGATAACAGACCGTGGAATTCCAGGAGGTGCCGTTAGATATCAATGTCTCATTTACTTGGCTGTAGGAGGCATGAGTAAGCGTTCACAAGAACTAGAATAGTGAGCGCACCATCTGGAGTCTTGGCAATATACTCGATGGCTATAAAGATGCGGTTATGTTAGCCAGGAGCCCTGCGATGTCTACGAATGTGCGTACCATGCCCTACAGTCTTAATCTCGTCCGCCTCAGCATCTGGGATCTCAATCTGGAATTCCTGCGCCGCATCATCAGCCTTACAACGTCTGTTGGGCTCACATAAACTTGCCTCTTCTACGGCCATGACGACTTCGACGGCGTCGAGGCTGTCAAGGCCTAAGTCTTCCGCGAAAGAAGCAGCAGGGGTGAGCTGCAACGCCTCAGCATGTCAGCTACGAATAACACTGCCAACGGTCTGCGGACATACCTTCTCCGGCTTGACCTTCTCAAAACCCTTCAGGACATCCAAAATACGCGCTGTAATCTGCTCCTTGTTCAGGCCAGCAGCAGCAGAGTATTGCGCGCGTTGGAGGAAGCCGGTGCGCGCAGAGAAAGCCACAGGAGCGGCGACAACCCGAGTCCGAGCAACGTTGCGGACAGCCAGACGGAGGAAAGACATGTTCAACGAATGCAGCAGCGTGGACAGGCTGAGGAATCGTCGCGAGAAATGCAACGCGCGATGACCTGTCCAACTCCGCTCCGGAAGTAGCCGCCGCACTGTGCGCTAAATTTTTGCCCGGCCATGCGCCTCATCAGTTCCTTCATCTCATCTCATCGCCCACGAGCTTTGCTCATTGCACTCGCACCCTGCTCACTTCATCGCTCTTTGCTCTTTGTTTAGTGTGGAACATATGGGACTATATATTGTGCGCAGGCCAGCTGTCCTTGTCATAGAGCAGAATCGTTTGTTTCACTACGAAGACTACCTGCTCAGCCTATCGACTACTTGTCGCCTGACTGTGTCTTGGCTGCGGACCATCCTCCAGCATCTCTGCGCCTTACCACCTGTTTGATGTCTTCCTATCGGCCTCTCGGTCATGCGAGCTTCAGCTCGAGGCTGCGCTTGTAACGCGGTATCGTGTAGGGAGACGCGTTGTGTTTGCTCACTGCTTCGGCATCGATGACAGCAACAAAGGACATGTAGGCTAGACGGTCATGCACTGGTCAGCGGCTCAAGACTACTCACAAGCGCAGGATGTTACTTCGCCACATCATGTCCGGTGGCGGCGCATATTTCGGCTGAGCACGCGCCTACCACTTCTCGGGTATGTAGCTATGCTTGGGGGTCTACTCATAGACTCACCCACTCGTCTCATTTCGCTAGCGGCTGCACTGTGCTCTGTAGCGACCTTCATGGAGTGCAGCTAGTGTCTCGTACTGACCCCATATACTGATCAGAGCTACGTAGTCAATCTCTTCACCCTGTTATTGCAGCAAGTTTAAGAGTGCGGAACCTCACCCGCGTTGAAACTCCCTGTAGATGTTAAAAGCTTCTTGAAATGCCTGTGAACTTGCAATCTTTGGGCAATGCTGTAGCATGTTGTTAACGTAGTGATGCGGCGCTTTATATGACGCCTAATGTAGGGCGCTTTCGGCGAAGTTCGATTCCCGGGCAGGATCCGGCAATTGCCGCAGAACTATGCAGGACCTGTCACGCGTTACGGTGGCTGCTCTGTCACGGTGCGTGGTCTAGTCAGTAGTAGGCCCGCCAACTAGTCCTGACCGCAAGATCCTCAAGGTAAGATATTGTTCACACTGTCCTTTGCGACACGTCGCTAGACGGGCTGACTGTCCTTTTATCAGGTACGCTCGTCCTAGAGGTCTGCAAACGAACGACTTCGAAAACTTACGCGATCTCACTGTAGACACCCATGGCCACCTTCTCCTCGAGCCCCATTGTCATTGATGGCAAGGGCCATCTCCTGGGCCGGCTGGCGTCCATTATCTCGAAGCAGATTTTGAACGGGCAGAAGATTGTCGTTGTGAGGTGCGAGGAGATCAACATCTCGGGCAGCTTCTTCCGCAACAAGGTGCTTTATACATGACTCAAGCTCGGTGGACCAAAGAAATAATCAGACTGCTTCTCTGTATACAGCTGCGCTACCACAACTTCCTCCACAAACGCCATATCGTCAATCCTAAAAAGTCTGGCCCATTCCACCACCGCGCCCCCTCCAAGATTCTCTACAGGGCAATCCGCGGTATGCTTCCCCACAAGACAGCCCGCGGTGCGGCTGCTCTCGAGCGCCTCAAGCTCTTTGAGGGCGTCCCTCCTCCCTACGACTCTAAGAAGCGCATGGTTGTCCCTGAGGCCCTCAGGGTACTTCGGTTGAAGCCTGGTCGCAAGTACTGCACAGTTAAGGTGAGACCGTTATTTCGAGAGGCCTCGAGCTCTCGTGTCTAACCTTCGTGTTGTAGCGGCTTTCGCACGAGGTTGGTTGGGGCTACAAGGATGTTGTCGACCGCCTCGAGGAGAAGAGGAAGATTAAGGCTCAGGCCTTCCACGAGCGCAAGGTGCGTCCTCTAGTTGCTTATCGGGCGAGTACGGGGATGCTCAAATGTTGGAGTAGCTCGTTTCTATCAAGCTGCGCCAAAAGGCCGTGGCTGACACCGCCTCGTCTTTTGAAAACCTTGTGCAGCTGGGTTACTAGATCAATATGCTTTGTGGCTTTTTATTCCGTCGCTTTTTGCTGTCTGATTCACCGCCATGAGTCGATCCATGTACCCACCCTACTACCCTCATATGCACTCGGCGCGGGTGCGCTACATGAATACGATGCATTGCTGTAATGGGCCTCCGTTCGTTGCAGCGTTACTTGTACAACACAACCGTCTAATTTCAGTCTCTTTGAGGTGGATGTCGGCCTGTGTGTTAGCCTTTTTCCGCTCGGCTGTTTTTCCAGACACTACTGGCTCTGCCGCACGGACGGGACTTGCCGGCTGCCACGCGAGCGTAATTGACGCGTTCAGGGCGTGGCCGAGACCGTTCAAATATCCCACACCAATTGCCCGCCCAACTCACCCCTCGACCTCAACCTTCCATTATTCCCCGATTTCCTCACATTTCCTCCCCTTTTCCTTTAATCCTTCACCAACGCCGCCATGTCTGCAGGAACTCCCGCTCTGCTTGAGAACGGTACGCCTCACGTTCTCTCCGCTGGCGCTCACCCCAAACTCACACAAATTTATAGCTGACCAACCAGAGTCCCGTTCGCCGTCGCCAGCTGGCAGTGAAGTTCTCACCCTTCGTTCGCTAGTTTCCACCAAGGATGCAGGTGTCATCATTGGCAAGGCCGGTAAAAACGTCGCAGAGCTGCGCGAGGCGACGGCCGTAAAGGCAGGGGTTAGTAAGGTCATCCCAGGTGTGCATGAACGGGTGCTCACTGTGACCGGCTCCGTTGAGGGTGTGGCAAAGGTACGCTTTGGTCGCACATATATGCGCGCCACTTGATAGTCTAACATGCGTATAGGCGTATGCCATGATTGTCAACCAGCTATCTTCCACGAGCGCCACGTCCCCCGTGTCGCCCACCCCATCCTCTTCACAGTCGTCGATCCGCCTCCTTATCTCGCACAACCTCATGGGTAGTGTCATTGGTCGTAGCGGCCTTAAGATCAAGGCTATACAGGATAGTTCCGGTGCACGCATGTTTGCGCAGAAAGAAATGCTCCCTCAGTCGACCGAACGCATAGTCGAGGTCCATGGCTCCGCGGAATCTATCGGCCGAGCCATCGAGGACATCGGTCGTGCGCTCCTGGAGGACTGGGACCGTGCCACTGGGACTGTCTACTTCCACCCCGGAGCTGCCGATGAACGTTCAGGACGCCGGCCAGGCCAGCAGAGCCGGCGTTCAAATGGTGATGCGCCTCGCGATCGCGGTTCACCATCTCCTAGTTCGCCCTCTGCCCAGCCGAGCAACTTACGTACTCAGAACATCTCCATTCCGTCAGACATGGTCGGATGCATCATCGGCCGTAATGGCACGAAGATTACCGAAATCCGTCGCCTCTCGGGTTCCAAAATCTCGATCGCCAAGGAGCCTCATGATGAGACGGGAGAGCGCATGTTCACCATCGTCGGTACTCCCGAAGCAAACGAGAAGGCGCTATTCCTGTTGTACAATCAGCTTGAAAGCGAGAAGGAACGACGTGTCGGCCGCGAGCAGATGCAGCAAGATGAGCTGCAAGACTAGGCTCTTCGCTTCAGGATGTCTATCCAGGCCCTAAGAGGTAGCACGGACGACAGGCGACGAAGAGCTCGCCTCCCCGCAGTCCGCGAAGTCGACACTTCTGCTCACAAGACCCCTTCAAGCCGTTCGATGCCCCTCCGCACCCATACTTCCACGTATCCTCGTCCTCTTCTGACCGCTACTCCCTACCTGCAAGATAAAAGCGCAAACCGATCTCTCTCTTCTAAGTCAATCCCCTTTCTTGGCCCACTCCTGTCCCTTCTCCGCCATTCGTTCCCCAACTCCTCGACTTTACCCGACATACGATGACGCTGTTGTCTCTGCCTGTCAAGGTGCCTCTAACTTATCCTAGTGCCGACTAGACTGTCATGGACGCTTATAAAAAGTAACGTCTAGCCTAATTGCAGTTCATTGCTTCGTATCTACATGTAACAGCAGTACAGCGCAAATCGAGTTGCTTTCGTTGAGGCTTTCTTGTGTTCTTCTCAGTCGCTGTGAATAGAATATCTTTTACATGTTGTACTGCTAATCGAACATGTGCGAGGACGCGAATGACATCAGAGCTGTGCTCGCTCTCTGAAAACGTTCTCCATCGAACTTCCACTCTTCCCCGCATTTTTACTCTCTTTGCTCGGGCGTCAGAGCGCTCCTCCCACTGTCTCTCCCAGTTGTCTACTGTCCGCTTCTCTCAACAACTGTAGCATAAGACGGCATACATGAACAGTCGCCCAGGTCTGCCCACGCATCCCTCGCTGCCTCGAGCACCCCATTTGGCGCATAGCCATCCACAGGCGGCCTCGAATGCTTATAGCCCCTACCAAAACGCCTCTCCCGCGTTCCCTCAGCTTGGACCTGGTGCCTCGTACCAATACTACGCTTCTACGCACTACGCGCAGGCATACACACAAAACGCGGCTCCTGCAGCTGGGCAGCAGCCGCAATACTACACGCCCACACCTGGAGCAGGGCCCAGCAGCGCACCACAATTCACTAGCCAACCATCCTCTCGGTGGGCCCAGCCAGGGACAGTTCGATGCAAAAAGCCAGGGTGCTTGTTCACTGCCTCGCACAAATCGGTAGAAATACACATGATGGACCGGCATCTCATATATCCACCTGGCTGGGAGAACAGGAAAGGGAAGAATGACTGGGACGCAGATCCTAGCTTGAAAGGGTACGTGCCTGGCCGTACTTGCCCTACACTGAATGTAATGATATAATTTACCACACAGAAAACCCATTATGATACAAGGTACAATAATCAAACTTGACACTCCCGAGACTATCGAGCAGTGGATTGCCGAGCGCAAGAGGCGGTTCCCCACGGCAGACCGAGTGGAAGAAAAGCGGAAGAAAATAGAGGAAGCGGTTGCTCGAGGCCAGCTGTCGTTCGAAGAGGCTCGTTTTCCGAACAAGAGACGACGTATAAATGACTATGCACAACATCGTCAAAACCATGACACGCGTGGAAGAGGGCGAGGAAGAGGACGAGGGCACGGACGGGGCCAGTTTACCGGCAAGCGTGGTTCTGCTACCTCAGTGAATGCCCGCCCGCACGTCTCGAAAAGCCAAGCTACTTCTGCTGCGCCAACAGAGGCCCTAGCTCAACCAAATGGGGAAGAGGCTCGAATAGACTGCGACGTGAATTCAGGACTGGGGTCTGACTCGGACAGTGCACCTGCGGAATTATCATCAAAAGCAACACACGTCGAAGAGGAAGTCCCGAAATCCGCTATTCAGCCAGATAGGATACCAGTCAAGAAGCTAGCACCGAAACAGCCTCGACGGCCACCGCAGAACCCGTTCGTTCAGAGGCCAGCATTACTTCGCAACGTAGGTTTGCATATTGATCCTAAAGCTGGGATGCCGCTGAGCTTGCTGCAACAGCTCCTGCTCCCTGAGATTCGAATGACGGTCTCAAATTTTTCACAAGCAATACGATTTCTGGTCGATAACGAGTTTTTGGAGAATGTTGAGCTTCGCCCCGGTCAAGCACAAGAGAGGATGATCGAAGTCATCTCCACGAACAGTACCCTGCCTGCCAACTTAGAGCAAGAGCCGTCCCGGCCTACAGAATCTAGTACAGGAGCTACGACTCTCTGATATATTTGTCTCACTGGCCGTATGCGCGCTTCATGTTCCTTGGAATACACGAGAAACATGATCTACTACGCGAGAACAACTATCGACTACCCGTACTCATGTCGTCACTCGCGCTTCCTTCGCTGTCCGAGCCCGAGAGCTCGCCCTCCTCGTCGAGATCAATATTTATCGATCGCTGCTCAACCTCATATCCAAGCTTAGCGAGCTCCTCGCCAGTGCTGGCAGCTTTGGCAGGCGCAGTGACCACGACCGCAACGGACGACTTTGCATCGAACAGCGGAAGGAAATATGTTTTGAGGGCCTCAAGCACGTCTTCCTTGGTGACTTTCGCATACTTCTCGAGCAGCTCGATGCTATGGTTTTGTGGGACACCTTCCAAGGCCTGGTTGATGAAGGAGACAAGGCCCTGGTACAAAATTACTTTCTGTGCGCAGAGGTTAAGAAAGAGCAGCTCACAGCACGGCCAGGCGTTGATACTCCTCTTGTAACGGAGTAGACGATACTGCTTTTAGCTGCGTCCAAGCCAGTCTCGTCCAAAGCGATCTACAGAATTGTTCATGTGAGCAGTATGGGAAATGGCAAAATCACCTGAACTTACAGTTCCCTTCACAAGTCCTTCGATCACAGACTTCGCCTGGTTAAATGCGTCGATGCTATTCGATGACTGAGACGACTTCAGGATCTGCCCACGATCAAGCCATAGAAACAACTTACGCGGTAGAGTGTGAAGCTAACCAGCCCTGCCTCCACATCGAGGGTAACGTACGCTCCATATGCGAGACCCGAGCCGCGAATGTAACGCTGAACAGAGTAGATAAGCAATCATCTGCTAACGAACGAAAAGCGTCGTACCCAGAGATAGCTTTCCGTCGCATTCAAGATCTCACCTGCGACCCTCAATGCAGGGTATTGTGGATGAGCATGACCCTCAATACCCTTCGCATAGTGGGAGACGAAGGAGCTCTCGATGGTAGGAAGGGACACGATAACCGCCTAGAGGTATTACTTTAATTGGTGCAGCGACATGTACAGCGAAGGAGTATACCTTCTTCGCTGGATTTTTGCCAATCTCGTTGAGTGTGTACGACGCTCGGCGGACAGGATCAAGCGGGCTTTCCTATAAGCGAGTTAGATAATATTCGAAGATCAGGCTATATATGCAAACCTTAAGTGAACCATTGAAGTACTTCGCCCAAGTGGTACGAGGCTGAGCAAGAGCAAGGATGTTGCCACTGACAGCGAACCTTGCACCAGAGGGCGCAAGAATGCTCCGGCGAATCTGTTCGAACTTCGCAATTACGCCGTCCGGGTTCTCCTGTAGCTCTTGCAACAGCTTCGGTATAAACTCTGCCTGAGGAAGGACTCCATGGAAGCGACTTGTCGAACTCGAACTGCAAAGGATCTCGGAGCAGACGGAGCTAAGCACAGTATTTCCGTCCCGTTTAAGCTCTGGCAAAGACTGCAGAGTCTTAGCTATCGTGACGGCCAATCTACGAGAAAGGATAAGCCCACTCCAGAAACTGCAAGCTGAATGATGCTCACCGCTCCTTGTCGAACTTGCTTGCGTAGAGCAAATCTCTAAGCCAAGCAACGGCGCTCTCATATTGCGACGTCTGCACCTTGATCGCCACGCTAACTGTCTCCGTGAACTTACTATTCGACCCAAGGCCGATTTCGTACGATACGGTATCGTTGTCCAGGCGGTCGACGACCTCTTCATGTGAAAGCTCCTCACCAGTATGTCTTGTAACGGGAAGGGAGAAAAACGCCGAGAGGTAGATGAAGACGTGAGGACGCAGCTCATCCGGCACGTCCGCTAGCGATAGATAGGCACTGATCGTGACGAAGTCGGACTTGAAAATGGAGGTTAGCTGGAAGCTATGCGCGTCAGTCAGTGTACGTGAACTCACCTCGACATGGTCGTACTGAACGAAGAAGGGCAGCGGAGAGCCGTCAGCCTGGACATGTCGGGAGACCTCGGCATTATCTCTTTGCTCCACAGCTCTGTGACGTCCCGCGCCCTTGCCGACCTCCTGCAAGCTTTGCACCGGTATCCATACTATGCTCTTGACACTTGGAACCGGGAAGCCAGTGAGGATGTCGGTCGGGATTGGTCTGTCGTGCTCGCTCTTGGCCGCCTCGAGTTCTGCCTCGGCTTTCTTCAGACCTTCTTCGCCCAGCTTCGCCTTCTGCTGAGCAATGCGAGCCTTCTCCTCATCCTCCAGTCGTTTTGCCATTGCAGCAGACGGCTTTCCAATGAGTACTACGCGATGTTGGTTGATATAGTAGTGCTTCAGCAATCTGACCCAATCCTCGCTCTTCCATGCCCTAAGGGCATCAAATCTCGATATCTCGTCGAGCGACGGTCCGAGGGTGGAGCCGTTCTCAGCACCGTACAGGAAGTCTGTGATGACCGTCCCCGAGAAGGTATCACCCTTAGATGACTCAACTTTGCTACGCAGCTGGCGTTCGTCCCGATCGATGACCATTGCCATGCGCTTCATGTCGAAGCCTTCCTTAGCGATACGCTTCAGGCTATTTTGCAGCTTCTCGTCGAAACTATCGAGATGCTCTGCAGGGACAGAGCCGGCGTAGATGTAAAGACCATTTCGTGTGGCGTAGTCCCGCTCTTCGAAATAGACGTACGTGCTAAAGGCTGGTGTGAGCACGCATTGCATTGAGCAGTCACATAACACACCAGAGAGGGGATTCGATCTCGACGAATTCTTTGTTGAGAGGAGCGGTTGACGATGATGATAGGTAGACACCCAGGATGTCAATTGCCTAGCGAAAACTTCGTCAAATTTACCAGTGTGACACACAGGACAGCACTAACCTTATTTTCCAGGAAGTCTGTTGGTGCCGGCCCTTGCCAACTAATCTGGACTTCCCCTAGACTCTCGTCCTGCTCCGGAAACTCGACTGTGTCCCTAATCGTCTCAGTAAACGGAGGGCGATTCGCACTAGGAGTCTCCAAAAACGGCCTCTTCCAGCCCTTGGGCCGAGGGCCATGATTTTGTCCATGTGCAATGAGGGACGGCTCTACTTTGTTTTGTACAACGTCGAGTAAAGTGTTGGTTCCAGAGGCCAGCTTGCCAGCAACAATCAGTGTCAGATTGTGGGGGACATAGTATGAACTGTGGTAGTCCCTGACTAGAACACACTTCTCAGAAATAATGATTGATACGGGAAACATGTGACTTTACTCTGTTCGACAGTGAGCTCTCGCAATGCTTTCATGAGACCTCCGGTTTCGCTTTGATACGCGCTCCCTGGTGGGAAAGCTAGTTGCTGCATTCTGCACGCCATGTGAGCCCAAGATTGAGAATGGAGATAGGGACACATACCGAAGAGCCATGAGATCGCTCGAGGTATTTTCACGACCCTGCATCTCGCTATAGACGACACCCGAATCTTCGCCTTTCCCTTTGATATGGTGGACCTGATAAGATTCCAGTGAGGAACAACATAAGCCCGAAAAGGTTGACACAAACCTCTGTGATATATCCAGCCTTCGTGAGGGTGGGATAGAGGATGTGGTCAACATATATTGGTAGAAGCTGCAGGAAACCTTGTTCTCCGGCGGTGGACACGGTGTATGCCGTGTGGTCGGTGTCCGTCCAGGCATTTGTACCGTTTGAGAACCCGCGGTTTGCTAGGTGATCGATGATACCCTTGTACGGATACTTCTCGGATCCCATGAAGACAAGACTGCACGCCACTTCAATACGAGTCAAGTCGGAACCGGTCTACTGTGGCCACTCACTGCTCTAGTGTATGCGGGCATCCGCTATCATTGAATACTGCATGTATTATCAGATCAACGCATTGAGTACAGAGAGGCGAGGAGCACTTACTCTCAGTACCGATGACGAAATAGCCGTGCACGATGGGGGCTGCATTTTCCGGTTAATAACTTGAACCACATCACCAATGACCCAGACGATAACACGGCATCTATGGCGTACCGTTGTAGTCGAGGTGAACGACGCTCAGACCGGTGGCTCTACTCTTCCACTTGGACACCAAGATGTCCGCATAATCCAGCTTAGCCCTCGTAACGAGGTCAAAGTTGCCGTAGACATTGGTGCCATTCGTCGCGTTGGTCATACTAAAGATAGGACGAGTGCTATGATACTTTCTGGCGAGCGACGCGGAGTGGGGATTGCCGAGGAGAGCGAGATTAGTGCGTGCCAGTCGATTGAGCGGGGTGTGTGTAAGGGCCCGGGGTGTGAGTGGTCTCGGAGAGCGCAACAAAAGCCTGGATGAACGAGACAGCATCCGGTAGTGGGCAGCGAGAGAGTTGTGTGAGTGGAGCGTGCAGCCTGAGGCTTGGATGCCCGCACCTGTGCTGAAGGCCGCAGAGTCCAAGTCAAAGTTGTGACACTGCGCCCGCAACATTTGTGCAAGACGCGCGTCTCCGGCGCCTGCTAAACCACCCCCCACCTTGGCTCCGGGGGTCGTCCTTATAAGAATGCGTCGGATGCCCAACCCAGAGTAGCGCACTGTCGTAGCGCACTGTCTCCTAGAGCCCTCGTCGACAATGTCCGAAGGACAGACACTCCCCAAGCTCGTCTGTTTGGGCCCTCTTGGTACGTACTCCCACCAGGTCCGTAGCAGCAATCCATGCAAGGCAACGCGCTCACAGCACCACTTGTCTCAGGCCGGGTATGAGCAGTTCGGAGATAATGTCGAGTACATCGAGAAGCCTTCCATTCGAGGTCAGATGGTCATGCCACTGTGGACCAATGTCTAGGCTAAACCGGTCACAGCCGTGTTGGAAACCGTCTCACCCGAGATACCGTTCGGTCTTCTGCCCCAGGAGAACACCATCTTCGGACCTGTAACGGAGGCCTACGACTCTCTGCGTTGCTCTGCTGTCGGTACTTCCATCTTTGTGAGAGGCGAAGTCGTCCTGCCAGTTCAGCACTGCTTGATTGCTCGCAAAGGTGTCCAGTTCGAACACATCGAACGCATCATCAGCCACGAGCAGGTATGTACCGTGTGGCCGTGAGCACTACTCGCTGACGTTGATTCACTTTTGCTAGGCAATCGGACAATGTGCTGGGTTCATTGCGAAGCATTTTCCCAGTGCTTCTCTTGAGAAGAAGCCCTCGACCGCGGGTGCAGCACGAGCGCTGCTTGAGGACGATGAGATAAACCTCCGCAGTGCAGCCATCTGCTCTACGTTGTGCGCCAAGATTTTTGATGGCCTGGAAATTCTGCAAAGAAGCATTCAGGATACCAATAGTAAGCTGCCGCCCTTGCTGCATAGTGCCGTGCTCTGACCGACAGTGCAGTCAATTACACCCGCTTCTATGTGCTCGCAAACACCATTGAAGCGAAACCGCCGGTCGTTCACAGAGTTCCTCAGCTGCGTCGAGCGCTTGTTCGACTTACCCTGCCGCCGACCCAGCAAACAGAACAACCAACGACAGAGGACACGGAGGACGACCAACCGGCGCATCTCAAACCGGCGCACAACCGCACTGTGCATCTCATTATGGGAACATTGTTGACGACATTTGGCGTTCCGGTCATTCGGATAGACCGCAGGCCGTCTATTACCTCATCTCCATTCGAGGACACCTATTTCATCGAGCTGGAAGATTTCGGGACGCCAGTAGAACCCTCGGCGACGGGCAACACACCAGCCGATGAGGCATGGCTCAAGAAAGTCCGGGCGGGTGTAACGAGAGTTACTGCCGCCGGAGGGGCTGCAGACGTAATTGGCGTCTGGTAGTCACCGTGGCAGAGACGGAGAGCTTTTCGGAACACCGGAGACCGACGCATTCAGGACAGTTATTCCCAGTGACCGTTCAACCGTTCAATCCCTGTATATGCAGTCGCCCCTTTCATGGGGCAATAGAAGGAGAGACCCTCGCATTTACGACCACGCCAGACATGAAGTCTTTGCTAACTCAAATTGTGACAGGTTGTAGTGTAATGACCGCATCAACGTCTATTTAGACCGTCCCATCCAGTGTTTGCTTTACTAGAGAAAGTGCCTCCTTCGAACGAGGCATGATGCAACATTTAAACGGTTTTGGACGGCTGCGAGAATGAGCACAAGACTGCGGAATAAGTATGTTTTAGAGGCCCACCTGAGTGATGTCGAGGTATATTCAGCGTCCGGTTCGATCGTATTGCCGTGTTCGTCCTTCGGCTTCAAGATGTTGTACACGGCCAGTGTGGCAGCGACCGTGATCCATATCGTCTCGAAGGCTAGCGCCCGACCGGGGCACGTGCTGATAAATAATTGTTAGGAGCACCGGGCAGGCCTCTGAAGAGGGTGCTCTCACCGTCTGCCAAATCCAAACGCTGCGTTGGGCAGTTCATTGATGCCCAACGTCGCGTTCTGTGCCTTATTGCTGAACCGGTCGGGATTGAACCGGTACGGGTCCGGATACATATTCTCATCGTGTAGTATTGCCCTTCCCGCGAATGTTAACATACGTAAGATGTCCTGCATGTGGAGGCGCACCACACATTAGGCAGTATCGTGGTGCCCTTGGGGATATGAAACCCACGGTAAACGTCATCCGCTGCAACTTGGCGGGCAAGGCCGAGAGGTGTTACTGACTGGTCAGTTACGTCTGTGTGGACGGAAGAGGCGGCGCATACCAGGATTCCACCGCAAGCACTCCCATACGATGCAGTCAACATACGGAAGATCATCCCTATCGTCGAAACTTGGCAGCCTGTCCGACCCGACCACTTGGTCGATTTGTTTCTGTGCCAAAACTTGCACTTCGGGGTGCATTTGCATGGCAAGAAAGAACGAAAGAATTGCTGACACGGTCTGCGAGAGCACTTAAGAGGGTAGTTTCAAGGGAAGAGATAGCTGCCTTCCACATACTGTGTCTGCACCGGCTGGAGTGGAGAAAGATCAAAAAATCAGTCTCGTACGATGCGGATGGGGCAATTACCGGCGTAGACGGTGGCCGCAACATTCTTGATTAGCTGCTCTTCTTTGGAAGTATCGGCATCAGACATGAAGATACGATCCAGTTGGTCCGTAAGAAAACATGGTACTGCTTTACCCGCCGCCTGTGCATTCTCAGCGGTGGAATGTGAAGAGGTTCGAAATTGAAGACTTACCATCTTTTGTTTCACCATCTCAAACGGAGCATTAAGCATCAGCTGATTCATGTGTCGCCACTCAAGAGCTTGCCTCTTGAATGACGCTCCAGGGAACCACGCAGGGATATACTTTACTATTCGGTAGTCAGGCTTGGGTACGGGCGTCGAATATTAACAGACGATGCTTACGAAAAGTGAGATAGTCGACGAGATATGTGCCGAAGATGCCCGCTTGACCCAGACCAGACAGAGCCTTGTCGGCAATGGTAACATAGATGTCGCCTTCTGGAGCTATCTGATGGCCATAGGAAAGCATCATAACAATTGCCGCGGCGCTCCTGGCGGTTACATGGACAATGAACATAATGAGCTTCGGTGTGAGGGCTTTAAAATTGCGCCGACCTTCGCACATGATGGAACAGATCGTCCTGGCCCTCGGCCAGATGTAAAGGAGCATG